TGAATGTTCCATATTAAGCATGTTAAGTTTGCATCACTGTCTTCATTAATGGCTTCTTAAACATGTTTATCAATATCATAGACAGCTGACAGGGCTGTACTGGTACAGTGAGTGAGTGAGTGAGTGAGTGAGTGAGCGAGCGAGTGAGTGATATCAGCATCATTAAAGATCGACCATTTAATATTCTGCTTGGGATTTGGGATTTTTGTTTAAGACAGAATAATTGTTTCAGTCAGCACTTAAAAACGGTCAATTGTTTTCTCCAAACATCTTTTTAACCCACAACTCACACTGTTTTAAAACATTAAGTGTGTCCTGTGAACAATGTATTATTCTGAGGCAAATTCCTTGTTCAAGAATAACAACAGCTAAAGGAAACAACTAGCCCTTCTAGATTTCCCCTGGTATCTGACTAGCTAGCCTTGCTCCAAGGCTGTACTGTAAGAAAAGGCCATGGATGTGTATTAATTCTATCCTCCTGATAGGCAAGTCTAGATATGTGGACAGTACAAAAGACTCCAGTCTCTTATAGGGACAACTTGTTCTTATTATTTACATAATCTTGAACTTACGATGTAAACTATTAATTATTGCCTTATCGACTTGTGCAAGTCTAGTGACTAGCACCCATGTATGAACTGAGTCCATTACACAGTGGTAAACATGGTAAGACAGATTGACAGCATTCATCTACTGATATAGAGGTTATCACGCGAGTGGGTTTGGGGATGAATGTCCTGTATTAGGAATAAACATTTAGCCAGCCTTAACGAGTGAAATACATGGTGTATATTCCTAACACAGGATACATACCATCCCCAAACACACAAGTATGATATCATTCTCCAATTCTGTGCTCGAAAAATCTCTTCCCAATTTCTCACAAACATTACCCAAACATTGCAAGTTTCCCTGGAGACTGCGCATTTATTATACATTACGTCAGGTAGGTAAATGATGTGTCAGTCAGACAACGACTTTACACGGATGAGAATGGATATTTTCCTTTTCAGCTGAAACATGTTTGCAATGGAGCCTGGTCCATAATATGGGGGTTTTACGGGGAAGCCACAAGGCTTTAACAAACTTGTGGTCATTAAAATTCATGGATCCACGGAAAACTCTCATCTCTGTTTACACATTAAAATATAAAAATGCTATTTCATATATAATGTGCAGTAAAAAACTACAGCCTTTCACTTAAGGTGTACAAACTTATCATTGGCACAAATCATTGGGACACAAAAATATGAAACACTTTTTAAGAGAAAGTAACAGTTATTGTGATATGTTAAATAAATTACTGATTGCAATTACAATTATGACTCTTAACTCTTTTTTTTATTATTTAAAAAAAAGATTTTGAGGGTATGATGACTCCCAAAATAGAACGCCTAGGGGAATCCCTGCATATCGTGGCAATAAAGTATCATCATGTATGCACCTTTCAGTGCACCATTACACCACTAAGACTGTCTGTGGTTTGTGTGTTTCTCACCTCCCCCACCAGTCCTAAAATGCCATTCTATCTAAAAAAGAGAAGATTTATATATCCAGGAGTTTGACCCAAGATAATATTTATTACACTTTGAAATAAGTTTACAAACTTCCTGTCTCACAAAAATATTCAAGGTACCGGATTTGACGTAAATAGGCGCCCAGGGCACTCTTAAAATTAGAAATGAGGGGCTCTAATTAGAATGTAATTTTGGTGAAAAAAACAAACAGTGTTGAAAGATTGTACATTTCGTGGTTTATGCTGACAGCCTGAAATGATATATGCGTATTATACAGGATAGATATATTATTCAAGAATTTAATTGCCCATAATTAAGGGTGCATATAACACACGAGTGCGTATTATACATGACTAAATAAGTCTTGTGTGCATTGATCAATCGGAAAGGTTGCTAATTGGGATTGTTCACTAGCCAATATATTATCAAATATCGCTGTGGGCGCTTATTAGAGCAAGGCACTTATTACGTCGAATGCGATATTTGCAGAAGGATATTCAAAGAAGAGAAGTGACTTTGCCCATGGCCTTGTTTATTCCCCATCTTGTTGCACTATGTTGTTCCCTTTCAGATACAGCAATCATCATAGTGAACATAACTAAACAATGATGCAGTGAGTACATGCAGTTTGAAAAATGATCAAAATACATAACCATTATCAAACTCTTGAGGTCAAGATTCAAATTGAGACCTATTTTGGCACATATATTCACATAATAGTTTCATTATCAACAAAACGTTTTTACTTCATTTTCTTTTCAATTTGTTTGCCTGCCCACTCTGTGGAGCTGAACGTAGATTCTTTGTCATGAGATGACAGACAGACTACAATAGGATATCTAATGGGCAAGGCATCTGGTCAGCAATCACTCAAACCAAAGGCACCATCATCAAAGGCACTTTGATCAAAGTGACCAGATGGCCCAGTGACCTTGAATGTTGGACACCTATCTTGTATAACACAGCTGGTGAGGAACATTTGGTTCAAACTTTCAGTCAGCCAATCAACACGAGGAACCAGTTTTGGTAGTGGAATATCAGCATGATCAAAGGACAATACAAGAAGGAATTATGAAGAGAATATGTATCAAGAGAGCTTGAATAACACTTAGTAGACAGTACGGCAAACAGTCCTTGCACTGGGTAGAAAAGTGCACAGAGCAAATCTATTTACACTGTCCATCCGGAAAACTCTTGGGACGATACTTGGGACTATTCTTATAAACATTTCAATTTCTTTTAATACATGTATAACAAATGGGCACAGAAGCTCATCTTCAGGGACTATTCAATGACATGAAATTTATAGGGTGAGGGTGTCCTACTGCCTGAGTAGTCTCTTTTATGAAAGAAATTCTGAACAATGCTAACACAATGCATTTTTGGTTCTACGTTGTTAATCTTTTAAGTTAAGTTTATAATTGATCACCTTATTTCCTGCTGCAATACATTCAGTAGTTAGGTTGAAAGAGGCGTTGCAGTAGCAATTACTGAACCACATCACACTAATAAATTCAGACATATCACAAATATTAACTGGCATACAGGACTTGACTGACCTAGTATCTCACTCATTTACATATTACCACTACATAACTGAAATCAGCTGATGGGGCCAATATACAAGGGAGGAGAGGGAGGACCAGGCAACTGTAGAGGTAGATCTGCAATAGATAAAGCCACAGTGGTAGGTTGAGAGAGAGGGATCCACAGTCATCTTGAGGCCACTGATCGTAACGATACCATGTTTTAACCTCTTATATTCTTTCTCTACTGGAAACACCCTGCCATCATAAAGATGTACAACCTTCACAATGACCTTGTTATTCATGATGTAGCAACAGCACATTATTCTGAAACACCAAGAACCTGCCTTATTTTATGTTTGTTTGTTGCTTAACGCCACAATATTCCAGTTGTATGATGGCAGCCTATAAATAATCGAGTGTAAAGCAGATAAACCAGTGACTGATATTATGAGCAATGAGCCATGCCATCCAAGTATGCTGACACGCTATCAACAAAATCACCAAGTTTGACCACATGATCAATTTAAGCATGTTAAGAAAACTGTGGAATGTGTGACTTTAACAATCAAAGGTGTGTTTTTTTAAAGTGTCGAATGAGTTAGGCACTGAACATTTTGTCGGACTGCCTGTCTCTGAATGATATTTGGCACACAATTGAATTTTAAAAGTTTTTTACACTTACTGTACATCTTTTAACAAGATAATTGAAGAATTTGCCAAATATTTTGTCGTTACAAAAATTATACATGACTCCATTAAGTTATATAAAACATGCACCCGTTGAACCTATTATTGAAAAGTGCAACGGTGTGCATGTTAAGTACAGTAAATTCAACTTTTCAACATAACAATGATCTTTCAACACAGTAAGTACCTTTAGGCTTTATCATGTTTATGTACCATACTACATTATTAATCTGTGGGTTACCAGTGTTATTTGTAGTTTGTCATCCTTTCTTGGGCTTGAAGTCATCAAACTGTGGGTAGTAAAGACTCTGTGCACATCCTATTATGGTTTACAGCAATATTTATGTAAAATCATGACAGTCATCAGAGATCTGAAATGTACCAGTACTTATGTAGTTTATGTTTCCTCTTTGAAAAATTTATGGGACAAGAGTGCAATCACATTTTTCATGTCAACACACACCTGGTGCAAGTTAAATAAAGTTCCTTAAATCAAGCCCTGGATGGAATTGCAAAATAAGATAACATTCTAAAAAGAACACACCCATGATATTGATGTAAGCATTAATCATGTTAATGGACAGGCCTACTTGAAACTATTACAAACTGAAAACTTTCAAGAATATGGTAACATTAAGTAATGGATATGCCTGATGATGTGAAGTTATTGGAAAGAATGTGAGAACACTAAAGTCAGCAGCTGTGCAGGGTTTTTGGGGTAAGACAAAACAGGAACGCAGAACTGTTCAAAACAAACTATGAGGTAAACATGGTAAAAGTGGAATATAATATATTCATCATAGGCATGATATTGTCAAGGATTAATATCTAACATATTTAGCCAAATATAGAATGTGCCAATATCAATCCTGAATCACTGCCATCCATATTGGTTGACATAGAAGACAATATCTCCAAAATGGTCTTTCAGACACTGGCATTATCACTAATTTTCTGGCTTCAAACATGTACGTTCATTATCAAAAATGAATTACATATCAGCTAAACATAACAAACAAAATATTTTCCCTGCCATGTGTGAGACATGTGTGAACAGATGGTAATTGCTTTTGACATGTTTGAAGATCCAGCAACGAGAATACTTTGAGTTTCATTTGTCACAACACAATGACAACGGTTCTAGATATCTGGAATTATTCAATGACAACATCTAAATCAAATTCTGTAGCTGTCTTTCTATTATTTTTCAAATATCGTGAGAAAAATAAATATTAGTCATGTTTCTAAACACAGACATTTGACTCACAATGTTCACGCTTGCTTTTCTCAGTTCACGATTTTCCTCTTGTAACGATTTGCATTTTAGTTTGTAGGTTTCCAACTCCATCTTCAATACTCTGTTTTCCTGACCCAGGGATTCTATTCTCTTTTGCAGTTGTTCCATCTGTGCTGGTGATGGTGGTTTCATCGTAGGGCCCCCGTCAATGGAGCTTGTGTCGCTCTCCAACTCACTAGCACTGTCCGCCATTGTGATCGACAAAGATCAACAAGCGTGACTACCTAGCCGCCGCTACGACAACATATATCAATACAATTTTCAATGTTTAAGTCGAATATCAACGTTGAATTTCAACACAAGAACACTTCGGTTCGAATTTTTGCTGATTAACTGACTCCATGTATAAACCAGCGACGTGATAGATCTGTCAATAAAATAAATTGACCTTGCGCTGGGTCATGACCCGAGAGGTCATTGGCATGGTAAGGGATCCTTGATGTTTTTAAAGTGCATTTCTGAAACTAAAGCCACATAATTTTAGTCGAAATAAGATAGCACTTGTTATTGTTTTTAATGTATGTATAAAAGTAAGTTATATAATAATCTTTTTTTAAAAAGAAATTTATTACACTGTATCCATCAGAATAATATTTTGACAATAAATGCTCCTAAAACCCCGGAAATTAGTTTATAGTCCACTAAAGGTCAAAGGTAAAGCACGTTGTAATACGCGCGCAGACGCGCGATAGAGACAACATAATGGATGCAGTGTGGAAAACCGTGAATGATTATTTACCAAAGACTAAAGAAGTAAGTTGGTTATGCAAGATATGCAGAGTAGACAGCATTTAGGTTGACATCATTCGACTGACAAAACAAATTTTGCCTGCACGAGTACGATCACTTCAATGATGGAAGTATCAAGTTGTCAAAAGGCACTGAAAAATGCGCTGATTTGGGTTATTTTGTCTTTTCTATTTATGGGATTTGATGATTTGCCATCGGCTTAGGCTAAACCGTAAGCTCGTGACTTTCATGGAACCGCAATAACCTTCGTGAAAATGACGTAAGCAGTGCCATAGTCTTGCATAGATTCTTTGGAAAATGTTGTGCCAGGCCTCGCTTAGCATTGTCAAAATATATCATTATTGTTATGAACGAAGACAAACTATGATCTTATCATGCATCATTCTTCACTTGTCTTTATACTAATGTAAATAAAAACACACACACACACTGATAAACAACTGTAACTTATATTTTTTATGTTATTACTATATCAAAAATATAGATCAAATACTGTTATTATTGTATGCATTTAGGATCCAGGAGATTAAAAGGAGAAATCTGATTTTTTACACTTTTGTACTGTTTACTGCTCACACATTGTCTTCCAATAATGTAAGCGCAGACATGATATGAGAATACTTGGTGATTCCTCCCATTCATTTCTTTTAAGTTATGTTTGTTTATTCTAAGAATAAAAGTTGCATTTAGGAAATATATTCAATGAATGTATGAAGAGGATACTCAAATATATTTATCAGTATTTCTGAGGCTGTAAAGCACTATCAGATGCGAAGAAGGCTCATGTATTCAAAGCTAACTATATTTTGACAGGCATTTGTTGTGATTTTGATTGTACATGTTGACACTGGGATATTAGTGATGCAATCATCAAAACCATTGACCATGTTGACATGTTGAAGAAATGAAAGACAAACAAGATAAGGATAAGAGCACTATCTTCTATGTGGTTGAACAAAAGATCCTTAGAATGGGGTGCATGTTTTCCCTAATCTGTAGAAATTAAGAGTCATGGTGACCGCCAAGCACATGTTTGTCACAGTTAAGTCAAAATCAAGAGCATGACAATGGCATCTGAGTAATGTACCAGGGTTAGAAATTAATTGTTATTGTCACGAGTCCACAAGATGATCTGCCATAGAGTTGCCATCTTGCTAATAGTGATGGTCTCCAAGGATAAATCACTAGTCTTGTTTTGGACTTGTGTCAATTTTGAAGCCTAATTATGCTTTATTTGTAATCAGGGCTCCAGATAAGTTTTTAGCATCGGGAGTACGTACTCCTTATTATTTCAATATAGGAGTTAGGGCTAGGACGAGTCCAAATTTACTACCCGGATACCCAACCCCCTATTACCAGACCCTACCTAGGTACCAACTGCAAGTCTCAAGAGTTGGGAAAAAAATGTGGGTACCTGAGTCCAACTCAAGACCAACCCGACCCGAGTACTTGAGTTACCCGTCCCAGCCCTAATAGGAGTACTGGCATAACTAAAGAGCACACTTAGAGTATTGAATGGAATTTAACTGATTAATCTTGTATTTCATGTTTTGTGGGGATGGGTGGGTGGGGGGAAATTCAAATATTATGAGCAGAATTATTTTACATCGTATCCCTTCAGAAGAGTCAGGTAAATGAACAGGTGATAACAAAATTAGTCAATGCAAATTTGAAATTTGAGATATGACATCACTCAACGTGATGATTTACTGTTTAAATTGTATTTCCAGTTCTACTAGGCTATGTCTATATGCAGAGATTAAGATTATTGTGTATTCTTATAAACTGAGCCGGAAACAGCAATCAGCGATACACTCGTTTTCTCCCAATCTACCAGTTATACCGTTAGAATTTACCCAATAACATAACTTTAAAGAATTTTGATGCAATGATTGGAAGAATTGTACCTGAAACTATTATTTTATCTGGAATAAGATATTCCAATATCGTGTTATTTTAGTTGCAGCTTTACTATATATATTTAAAATTATAATAAGCATAAGCGTGAACGCTATTGCCAGATATTTTTTACGTATTGAACAATATGACCATTTATCGTCGAGGCTCTCACGCTAGCAAAAACTCTATATTGATATATAACAGTCTAACTACAACAATTATGACTTTAAACTAGTCAAAGTAGGGCGTTTGTGATATATGTATCCATTCTCCGTCAGCTTAAATTTCTTTCAAGGCATCAATAACGGTAATCTGATGGTGGTTGCTATAAATCACGGTGAGTTGTGCGATCTACTGATCACTCCACACACGATTTCACCGAAATAAATGTAAACAATATTGAATGAAACTTTGAATAAAATTAATAAAATAAATTACAAACATAAGTCTAGATAAACAATGAACACCTTTTTATAACCAGATAATATAATAATGGGATTAAATTCTGTACTTCAGTTCGGATTCAATGACTGGTATTTCCGGTCTTACGGGATCTCAGTGATCAGCTGATAATTATTTTTGAGATGGGGAAAAACATTGTGTCATTGGAAAACTTGAGTTTATTAAAAATGTAAGTAAATTTTGGGAGCCATGCTTTACCACGCGCTATAACCGGGTAAGCGCTATATTGAAGAGCGCAATAGCAAGGGAACACTGTATTTGGGGATTCTGAGGGGAATCGATATCCTGTACCCCATGGTTGTCGGCAGCAACTTGGGGATTCTGTGGGGAATGGATATCCAGTACCCCATGGTTGTTGGCAGCAATTTGGGGATTCTGTGGGGAACGGATATCCTGTACCCCATGGTTGTTGCCAGCAACTTGGGGATTCTGTGGGGAACAGATATCCTGTACCCAATGGTTGTTGCCAGCAACTTGGGGATTCTGTGGGGAACGGATATCCTGTACCCCATGGTTGTTGGCAGCAACTTGGGGATTCTGTGGGGAACGGATATCCTGTACCCCATGGTTGTCGGCAGCAACTTGGGGATTCTGTGGGACACGGATATCCTGTACCCCATGGTTGTCGCCAGCAACTTGGGGATTCTGGTTAAAAACATAAGTCCAGATATACAATGAATAGTTTTGTAACCAGACAGTGTAATTACATGACTAATTTGCGTACTTCGGTACAGATTTGTTGATATGGTATTTCCTGTGTTACATGCTCACGTTAATATCTTTGCGTTGGTGTGTGGGTGTGGGTGTGGGTGTGTGTGTGTGTAAAACCCGTACATACACCGATATGGCCTTTATCTGGAGCCCTGTGAAATGTTGCATCGTGAGTCCTGTGTTACATATTTACTATAATGATTGATTATCATTAATTAATCACATTATTATAACATGAAAAAACAGGAAGTAATTAAATATTCATATAATATTCCTGATTGATATGGTCATATCATGAACAAGCTTTGATTACGAGTCACTCACAGGTCAGATTGTGTCACATCCCATATCCCAGCTTCAGGCAATGCCAGGGTGGTGATACTGAAATGTTACATCTTTGAAACTGTGCTGCAGTACATTCACCCCCTGTCATGGAATGGTTTCATTTCTTCAATGTGTTTCTATTTACTTGCTACCTAGCCATGTAGTTTGTCATCACATACAGATTTAAGGTATCCACCAACAGCGTTTGGTGGAAACAGTATGTCATTGCATTTGCAGAGTTTTAGAACACCTGACCTGCAGTGCATGCTTGTCCTTCCTTTGAATCCAGTGAAACGATTGTGTGCGTGTGTGCGTGCGTGATAGAGCTGGTCCCAAGTCACATGCCTGTAGCATGCATAATAAGAGATGAATTGAAGTCCATAAAGGGAACAAAACAAGATGACAGCAAAATGTTTACTCATTCAATAAATAGACGTAGATGGTCGCTCCAGATTCATGCTTTAGGTATTTGGCAAGTGTATGGACCGCCTCCGTGGTCTGGTGGTAGAACGTCCGCCCGGAGAGTGGAAGGTCTGGGGTTCGATCCCCAGCCACGTCATACCAAAAGACGTTAAAAGATGGTACTTGTTGTTGCCCTGTCTGGCGCTCGACATTAAGGGGCTAAAACAAGGACTGGTCGGCTCGGAGTCAGTATACTGTGTCTGAGTGGGGTATTCATGTTATACTGCAGCATGGTATCTCAGTGAGCTAGCACTATAAATCGGCATCAGTCCGGACTAGTACAAGCAGACACTCACACACGTGCATGCGCTTCACTATATAAGTGCAATAATCTTGGACGCGACGTTAAACCCAATTTCACCTCACCTCACCTGGCAAGTGTATAACATTAAACACATGATAAAAATCACCAGATATATCGAGCATTTAAGAATGATATTGTGATACGTATCATTGAGAGAGTAGACCTCCATGAACTAATATACCGGTAATACCGTGCACCTTCACTCCATATTTATAACCTACTTGCCTAGTTAACCTGTACTCATTATCTCAAAGCATATACTTAGCCTCTTGTGAACTTTGACCAGCAGGTACAGCGGGTCCGGCAACATGAACAGCATGTCACCAGTTGACCTTGTGGTCAACTCAGAAATGGATTCAGAGATTATCTAGACCTGATCTGAGGCCGATGTTCAGCCCCACGTCTGCAGCAAATGTCAATAAAAGTTCCCAATTTGGAATTATAAATTTCCAAATTCACGTAATAACTAATAACTGATTTTGTGGCCTTGCAGAGGTGCCCTCTATTTCACTGATAAAAGAACCAATAGTAAATGAGTGAGTTGGGCTTAACGCCGCTTTTAACAGTATTCCAGTTATATTGCGGCGTTTCAGCTTAATGTGGGAGGAAAGCCCGAAGTGATGCAGGTCTCAGATGTTTACCACTTCGTTGAAAGCTAAGAGCACAGGTATGGTGCTAACAAACCTAGAAACATAAACAGGGCGAACCAAGATTCGATCCCACAATCATAGGTTTCTGGCGTGCCCGAGGGACACAACCCTGCATAGCGAATCGCGGCGCCTTAGACGACTGGGCCTTCCGTGTCCCAAAAGGACCAATAAGGATCAAGAGGTTTTGATGCTTAGTTTTATATTAAACCATTGAATGCAATCCCAACATGCCATATTATAATACCTCTGAATTTAAGAAAATAACTGTGAGAAAAAATGTTAATTTTGAACAAAATAACAATATTTTCTCCAATTGACTGCTAGAGGCACTTAGTTTAAAATCCAAGATAAATCCCTGGGATTACCATATCGTATTTGACATAATAAGCACCCAGGGTGCTCTCAAAATTAGAAATAGGGGGCTCTTATTAGAATATTATTTTGGCGAAAAATAACAGAGATGAAAGATCGTTAACTTTGTGGCTTATGCTGACAGCCTGAAATGTTTATATACGACAGATATTATTTGCCAGAATTTAATTTCCCATAATTAAGGATGCATATAACACACGTATTATACACAAATAAATAAGTCTTGTGTACATTGATCAATCGGGATTGTTCACAAGCCAATATATTAGGAAATATCGCTGTGGGCGCTTATTACGTCAAATATGGTATTTGCCATATTAAGCACCCTGTTCCACCCTGCACCTGTGGCCAACCAATCAGCCCTGTACTATTCCCGAAAGTTCACAAGACGGTGATATATCAAATGCTATACAGAGGATGTATTTATATTTATGATACATATTGCAAATAAAAAAAAGCAACCAGAATAAGAACATGTAGGATAGATTATTCCCTTGTACATAAGAATAATGATTGCAACATAATCTCCTTCAATCTTTACACAAAAAACTGGGACATTATTTTATTGAGACACAAGAGCGAAGGTAAACATTATATGTCAGTGTGATTTCTATTTCCAGGTTATCATTAAGAAAATCACACATGGCAGTATTGATTACAGCGTTTGTAGAATGCTTTCCATAACAGAAAAAATACAATTCAAGTGTCATTCGCCTTGTTTCGAAACCTAATATCACCCCAAAGTTTTAGTTTCTGTTTGAACTAAATTTGGTCTCTCACATTCAAACTCTGACATGAAATTTATACTCACTGTGTTTGTTTAATAAGCACCTTGTTTTTTAATTTTCTAAACACCCAGGGTTTGTATTTCAGCAAATACAGTAAGGTCCTGTGAGAAAAACATATTTCCCATGATTTGATTGTAATTGCAAACACAGGATTAAAATACAACACATTTAGCTATTCATTTTATTTAACATGTTATTGAACATTTTATTGAATATTTTATTGAATAGAATATCTCCCTTCGTACCTTGTTACAATATTATTACAAGTGTTGATCACATTATTTGCTTTACCGTTATGACAGTAGTGACCAAACACTGGCAGACCCTAGGCTTGTGTTTGTAGGCAAGAGGTCACTAATCGGGCACCGGAGGTGCAGTACAGCTGACCTCTGTGGCAGCTGCTGAGTTGGCAGAATACCGCAGGTTGTTATCACCAGGTGAAACAGATGTTGCCTGGACTGGTCAGATTCACAACATTATCAACTCATAACCAGTATTTCTACTTGTTTTTATGTTGTTGTTTTTAAGGAGAACATTGCTTTCAGTCCATAAAGGGCATGGTGAGCCCATCGTACATATCATTAAATCATTAATATATCAAGAGTATGGTTAAAGGTGGCTTTTAGCTGAATCAAAAAAAGATAGACGATGTTTCTATATAATCATAGAAGAATATTGTCTAAAAAGCCGAGCAAGCAACACAGCACTGCATAAATCCTGTTTATTTGCAGGGTTCTGCATGTTGTAAGTATCGTATGTCAGAGCACACCTTGCTCTTACCTGCCATACATCTTCTGGAATGATGGTCAAAACATGCGCTACCACTTTAAGGGAACATGGCATTGAGGAGTTGTTTAACTGACACTTCCATCTGGAGTAGGTGTGGCTTTCTGTTTACTCCTGTAGGGTGTGCTTGGGTCAAACATTCTTATGTTTGCCCACAAACATGATGTGTTTCATTTACACTCACAATCTTAACATGCTTAATACGGTAGTTGAAATGTAATGAAATAATAATGTTGAATTTAATTTCTACATTTTCAAACTTAATAGTTGAAATGTATTGTATTTCGTTTTTACACTCACATAGTAGAAATGTTTTGAAATAATAACCTTTAATTTAATTTTTTGCACACACAAATTTAATAGTTTTGATATTATGTAACGATTAGAGAAAACATGATATGTAAATTAATTACACTACGATAAATGACGATGTATCAAGACCGTGTGACATTTTATTATTTTTATTTGCATTTGCAAATATTCACCTGAGCCTCTGATAGGTTAAGTTCAGACTCAAAGGACATGACATCTTGAGTGGATTAGTGTGATGGCCTATCTCTGTGGTAAAGTGTAAGCTCCTCATGGGCGCACTGTGTGAAACCCATTCCTGGTGTACCCTGCTGTGATATAGCTGGAATAGTGCCCATTGCATCTTGAAACAGGTAGATTTAACAACAAATTTGTCAATAGCCAGCAGGGCTTGCTCCTTTCAAAGGTCACTGGCCGCTTTTCTGTACTAACTGGCCACACAACTAAATGATGGAGGCCGCAAAGTGGCCGAACCCAAGGTCACATAGCGACTGAGTTACCAGGGGGACTTAGAACTCCCCACCCAACAAATGTCTTTTCCTGCACTCTGAGATTACATCTTGGCTTCCGTTTGCCTCATATTATGGTGGTTTACAAGCAAATAAAGATGATGTTGTTCACAACATATCTCTTTGAGTTAACCATTCACACAACCCCATCCCCCCTAAATATTATCTCATGATTAGCGAGCAGTGTCCAGTTGAAAAACTTAAACATACACAGAGAAGGGGTGAAATTTTGACTTGCCACATTGGCCATCTACTTTACATATCAGCAAGCCTTTTGGTACTTTAACTGGCCACAGGCCAACAGGCCAGCAGTTTAATTAAACAATCTTGAAACTATCTCTCATGTAAGTGTTATAGTGTGTTGCACTCGTATTAATAACAGTTATAATGGTGTTTTTTGCTTTTTATGGATGTTAATAATTTTGTGTTTTTGTCATTTTTGTTGAATCATTTAGACTAGGATGATGGCGGTAGTGTTTTTATAGAAGATCATGATGAATACGAACCTTCCCTATTTCTATACTTAACATTCCACACATAAGATGGGTGGCTGAACATATTGAGCCTTACTATGATGGACTACGTTGATGGAGTTGGTTGGTAAATATTTTTTAACATAATTCCCTGACCGAGGTCCGCACACTTCTGCCAACAATGCTGGAGTGCCTGGACCCCACTGGTGTAGAAGGCTTCCTCCTGGTGCTTTCAGCCACCCCCTGCATCAATCCTTTCATTTTCTATTGGAAATCAGTTAAGTTTGAAGGTTGTGAGAGTTGGTTGAGAATGATAATAACAATTCAAGTGTTTATTTTCAGGAGTGGAACTGGTGGATTAAGTTTCGTAAAGCTGATGTCATCCTCAGGAAGCATGACAACTTCCTGTACTGTGAGATTGCCTTCTATGCCATGGCCTTCCTTACGTTCATTCATGGTGAGGAGGTGTACACTGATTTTCTTCACAGTCAAGAAAAAATTATTCTTAAAAACAAACCTCCATTAAAATATTTTGATACCAATAGAATCTTGAGCAAAGGCCTTTATTTTGTATTTGTTGTATCACTGATATGCCGAGTCATTGCCAACCCTGTTTTCATTGAAAGATTAAAAAGAAGTTCAATCTTTAACTTTTTTTTCCATGACACCTACATGTTAACATTTTGTAATTATTGAGTGTTTTTCAAGAAAGTCATCAACACAAATAAGATGCTTAATTCGACATCCATATTTTGATAAATTGATCAATCATATCTGTTTCTGTACAAAATAAGTCCAGAGTTCTGTCCCTTGTCCTTGAATCAAAAGGTGGATGACTTGAGTCATTCTTTAGTCATAGGTGTAATTTTTCATTTAATTGACTTTACGTTATTAATTTTGAAACAGCAAAATATCAGCGATAGAGTACAACATATTCAAAGGTTTCAGAAAAATATCCAGTTAAATTTTGCCAAATCAGATTGAGATAACACAGCCGTATATAACACTGACGATGTGCTTGCTTTCAGCTATGCGACATGGAGGTAGGTTTCGGTGGCTGTGGCTAGCATCAGTTTTCCATGGCCTGACGGTGGAGTGTGTCAGCTACTTCCTCCCCGACATCGACAACTTCTGGCACGCACAAGCAACTGTGATGCTGCTGGGGCAACGACTACCACTCCATATTCTGTTGCTGTGTAAGTGGAAGCATGATCACCATGGCTGGGGGCTCTGATTGGGAGGATTTAGGGGAATGGGTTCATCTTGTTTAGTCAGTTTTGTTTGTTTGTTGTTAACGCCACATTCAGCAATATTCCAGCTATATGACGGCAGTCTGTATAAATAATCGAGCCTGTACCAGACAATCCAGTGATTGATATCATGAGTATCAATCTACACAATTGGGATACGATGACATGCATCAACCAAGTCAGCGAACCAGACCTCCCGATCCAGTAAGTCGCCTGTATTCATGGATATGGCAAGCATGGGTTGCTGAAGACCAATTCTAACACGGATCATCACAGGTTCAGTCAGTAAACATGTATTCTTTTTTCTTGTTTAATTTTCATGGAATTGTGTTTTACCAGACAGCTTGGACTGTCTGCAGTTAATGGTAACTTAACGGGACAAGAAACAAGTCCATTTTTATCTATTTTTGTCTATTTGTCAAATATGACGAGAAGGAAGTTCTCTTTTTTGCATTTAGTGGTACCTCATCATCGTTCTACCTTTGACTTAGATTGTTACTCGTATGATCCCTCGTTCACATGCACCTCTATACATTTGTGTGTGTATTTGCATATGTCTGTGACCCATGAAGATTCCGGGGTAGAGTAGGTCTTCAGCAACCCATGCTTGCCGTAAAAGGTGACTATGCTTGTCGTAAAAGGCGACTAACGGGATCGGGTGGTCAGGCTCGCTGACTTGGTTGAAGCATGTCATAGATCCCAATTGCGTGGATCGATGCTCATGATATTAATCACTGGATTGTCTGGTCCAGACTCCAGAAGGAAGAAACGCGTAGTGTATGATCGGATAAGTATTTACAATTGTACATAAAATGCAATTTTACAAACACAAAAATTGCAGGGTTTTTTGACAGTGTTAGTGCATTTTATGAGTTAGACAGGATGCAAGTTTGCTTGTGGTTTGGTGTTGCTATTTTTCACTCAATTGCCGAGCAATAACCAGAGTTCCCCCCCAGAGACTGAGATGAGTTTGTACTGCCTGTTACAGACCCAGCGTTGTACTATGTGGCATCAGTAGCTGTCGGACATATGAAGCTGAGGGGATGGGCCGAACCTTTTGCAGGTACGATCTGTTATGGAAGCTGTTGTTGCATGGTTTCATAAAGTCACTTTCCCGTTTTAGTTTACTGAGGGGGCCACGGGGGGCTCCGTTATCTGAGCTGCAGCAATTTGCTGTGCAGAGTTGTGTCCCTTGGGCACACCAGAAACATATGATTGTGGATTTGAATCCCAATTTGCCCCGATTATATTTCTAGTTTTTTCAGCACCATACCCGTTCTTGTGGGTTTCACCAAACTTGGCAAAGTGGTAAACTTCGAGGCCTGCATCACTTTGGGCGTTCCTCCAATCTTAAGCTGACTCTCCTTGATATAACAGGAATACTGTTTAAAGCGGCGTTAAACCCAACTCACTCACTAAAAGTTCCACGCATGTTAGAACTGTTTAAATTGACAGTGGGGCTTTTAACATGTACTTTTTGTATTGCTTGACAGTGGGGCTTGTCATATGTCTTGATTGTATTGCTTGACAGTTGGGCTTGTCACATGTATTGATTGTATTGCTCTCAGTGGGGCTTGTCATATGTCTTGATTGTATTGCTTGACAGTTGGGCTCAGTGTTGTTATCCTGGACGTTCCCTACGACATCATGGGCATCAAGCTGTTGTGGTGGACGTGGCACGACGATGACCCCAACATCTACGACCGCCACTACTCGGTGCCGTGGACCAGCTACTACTTCCACGCAACTTTCGCTGCAGGCTTCACTTTGGTTTTCCATGGACTCCGCAACTGTTTGTGTCAGAGAGCAAACAAATTCCAGTCTGCTGGGTAATATCTTTGTTACTCCTGTCCTTCTAATTTAGACGTCATGCCAAAGGCTTGATTTGATTTTTCCCACATTTGGAAAAAATTTAAAGTCCAATTCTAGTGTCCCTGCCGTTATAGCTCTCAAATATTTCTGAAAGCCGCATAAATACAGTAAACTACATTAATAACAAAATGTTTTTTGATCCCCTTACATTTTCTGTATATTTGTGGTCATTTATATGCTTATAACGAACTACGGTTATAGCGAACTAAAATTAGTGGTCCCTATGAGTTCGTTACAAACATAGGGGGGGCGGTCGGGTAGCCTAGTGGTTAAGGCTTTCGCTCGTCACGCCTAAGACCCGGGTTCGATTCCCGACATGGGTACAATGTGTGAAGCCCATTTCTGGTGTCCCCCGCCGTGATATTGCTGGAATATTGCTAAAAGCGGCGTAAAACCATACTCACTCACTCACTCAAGTTACAACCGTAGTTTAATGTATTGTCATTGTTCTTCTTGTCATACCTCTCATGTTAACAGATAAAATTCAGGGGGTCCTGGAATATTTCTAAAGCGACCACACTCGCTCACTCCACTAATTTAGACCATTTCTATCATTTCTGTAGCTTCATTAATACTCCAACAGGCTTACATATCATTTCATTTATGGTTGGTGTGGTTAGCTATGGTCAAAGGGAGATAACTGATCCATTTTATGTAATGTTTCCTCTCTACGACATGGGCATTTCATTATACCCAACATGATATGGTGTTAGTGTGTTTGTCATGTGTAAAACAAAAGTTTTGATACCTTTATGACTTCAAGATTTGTCGTATGAAAAGGTCAGTTATATTTTGTGTTAACATAAGGTTCCTGTTGGAGCTGATGGTTGCCGTAGCGACTGGCCTTCTGGCCATGCCCCTGGGAGTCCTTCAGTTTCTGCCGATCTACCACCCACTGCATGACTCCTTCAAGCTCCACACAGAGGTATGTGTTCTCATGCTGTTGGGAGTCTACGGCCTCCTTGTGTGGATTGCTGACAGAACACCACTAGAGGGAGCCAGGGGACCTCAGAAGTCAAGTAAGTACTTTCTGTCTAGATTATCAGCATGGTACCTCTTCAGTTCACCTCCATCAGGGGCGGTCGGGTAGCCTAGTGGTTGAAGCGTTCGCTCGTCACGCCGAAGACCCGGGTTTGATTCCCGACATGGGTACATTGTGTGAAGCCCATTTCTGGTGTCCCCCGCCGTGATATTGCTGGAATATTGCTAAAAGCGGCGTAAAACGATGAAGATTCTTTCATATTTTCTAGTTTTAACTGTTACATCAGTCTCATTTTAAGAAATAAAATTAGATTAAGAAAATCAGTCTGAGGTTTTGTCATGATTAAATCTATTATGTCCATCTGAGCTGTATCTTAGACATTTTAGAATCAGCAGTGTCATGTTAACACTATTTATGTGTGTCTAAGATGTGTAGAGTTGCATCTCTTAGTTGTGTCAGGATCTGCTGATCTCAGTCAATTTTCTGATTCAGCATCATCATGATCCACATTACTTTGAGATTTACTCCCACATTATGCTGACACGTCATGTTGTGTTCAAAATTAAACATGAACTCTAAGGGATCCTTGTTAAAACCCTTGTGTAACAGATAAGATACAAGGGGTCCCTACACTGGAATACTTTAGAAGCAAACCTTGGTGACCCAGAACCCTTTAATACTGAACACTTCCGTGATATAACTTACATGCTGTTTAAAATGTTATTTAACTCAAACTCATTCACTTACTCACTCTTGTACATGTAGGGGTTGAAACCATTGGTGAAATTGAGATAGCCTGAAGATCATTTTGGATTAGTGGTTTATATAAGATACCTAGATTTTTTGAGAAAACAACTAGACCCTCTGGATTTTCACAAGGCTCAGCGTAACAGTGGCCATGTCTATCCCTAACGCAGAGTTGCCAACCATTACACTTTTCAGCCTAAAATTATTCTATTAATTTCATCCTAAATTACCTTGTCCACCCTAAATTTGATTTTGACATTATTTTCACAAATAATTACATGCCAAAAAATATCACAAAGATCAAATTGTTAAAGCACTGGTCACGGACGCATGCAACAGGGATATATTTGCAAGTATGCCGATTTTTCTTCGGAACTCGAAACATCACCCTGTCAATTAATAATGTTTTGTCACATGATGAATATTATGAATGTGTGGAGCTTTGACCAAGTTTCGACAAGGAGGCAGTATTCCAGACACCTTGCAAGTTTTTTGAGGCCCTTTTTTGTTACCTGGATAAAAAAATGGGGGCTTTTGGGACAAGGAATACTTTGTTATTCAGTTTCATGGTTTAATCATAAACTAGTCAAACACAACCAGTTTAAATTTAATATTTTCTGCTTATATTAAGCTTTATCGCCCTATATTTCAAATAGTGACGGCCTGTGCGACTATTACTAGTATCAATGCATGTGAATGTGTGTTTCACGTACGTCTAAGCCTAACGATAATGCTGATGCAAAAACCCACATTATGGTACCTTTAACATTACGCTTTTTCACATGAATTTACAATTTTTAACACGCTCACTACTCTAAAGCTTCAATTTGGGTTGGCATCTCTACTGACATATCTTACAAATTCACTCTCACAAACTTACCCCCCTTGAATGTGTCGCTCTCTCCCAATATACATGTCGTACAAATTGACTCACTCACCCACTCATGTGCATGTCGCTCTCTCCCCATATACATGTCATACAAATTCACTCACTCACCCACTCTTGTGCATGTCGCTCTCTCCCCATATACATGTCATACAAATTCACTCACTCACTCACTCACTCTTGTGCATGTTTCACCAGGGGGTGCTATCAGCGAGGTGCTGCTCTGCGTGCTGCTGCATTATGGGCTGTACATCTACCTCGTGCTCACTGCAGTGCCAGAGAGTATTCAAGCTACTGGGTTCCACCAGCCAGTCGGCAACTGCAGCACGACGCTACCCGTCCAGACTCCATTCGGAATGGTACGTACCTCTGTCAGTGATTGAAATAATGTTTGTAGGCTCTTTTGTTGAGATTTGATGTTTGGTTCTCACAATCTTGCATCATATTCTTATCAGTCCTTTAAAAAATGTTTTTAACTGTGATTGGTGTATTTGGGAAATGAACCGTAATTAATATTACAGACAGACAGTTGTTACAGCCAATATTTATGTCATTTAAATCAGGCCATGGTAAATTAATTTTTAGATTTTTATCCTCAAATTTAATGGATGTTAGACATTTTGTTTTATGTTGGTTGGTTGGTTTGTTGTTTAACGCCGCAATCAGCAATATTCCAGGTCTGTAAATAATCGAGTCTGGACCAGACAATCCAGTGATTGATATCATGAGCATCGATCCACGCAATTGGGATCGATGACCGTGCATCAACCAAGTCAGCTAGCCTGTTGTTTTATGTTGTGTTATCCTTATACTGTTGAAGGTATAATAGCATGTGTACATGCAGGTGATTCACATGCACCATGAATGTTTGGTAGGACTAGGGTTTCCGTGGGTTGCATTCAGTATTGAACGATGGAAACACACATAACAGTTTTACTCATCTGTAGCTACAATAGGAGGGGCAGTGGGGCAGCCGAGTGGTCAAAGCGTTCACTTGTCAGACCTATGGCCCAGGTTCGATTCCCCACATGGGTACAAAGTGTGAAATCCATGTCTGGTGAAAATGTGAAAATGCTGGAATATTGCTAAAAGATGCGTAGAACCATATTCACTCACTGACTCTAGAGGGAAGCTTGGTTCTTATGATCTGAGTTTTTAATGTGTTTTGACGGAAGCTGCTTGTTACTCTATGTCCATGTCCCCATTGTCAGGAGCGTATATGTAAGTGAGTGAATGTTCTTTTATGCCACAGTCAGCCATATATCCCCTTTATTACCTTGGCTTGTATGAAGAATCACGTTTCTGCTGATTATATGAACAAGCCATTTTAGTACAATAATGACAGTGGTGGATCCGGGATGGGTGGGTTCCCCCTCGACAAGTGGACCCCACCTCCTTTTTTTTTCAGTCCTGGATCCGCCCCCGAATCCGATACACATGTTCTAATAAACACCATCAAAACTATTTCAGTTTTTCAACCATGTTGACTTTTGTTGCAGACTCTATCCAAGCACAAGTATCTCTGCCTCAACAAATATGATGAAGATGTTTTCGACTTCCACTGCGTGAAGAAACAGCCCGCTAGTGGTAAAGAGTGGTACACGATTTGCGGCACCGCGTTTCCCAACCATTTTGAGTACATCTGTGTGGTGACCTCATTCTGTGTCCTTGGGTTGGTCTGGTACTGGCAGCTACTGTTCCGCTCCGGTGCTGTCCCCAGAACTCAGGGGCCCAAGACCAAGCAGCACAAGGACTAGGCAAGCTCTGCCTCATGCTGCTGCACCAGGGAATCTATGGTCAGGGTATGAAGTCTTCAAGTTGCACTGTCCAAGAAATATGATCACCAGCTGCAGAAAGGATTTAAAATACGACAGTAATTATATGTATAATATGCTGTGGGGAAATCTATTTATGAAATTTATAGTTTTATCATTATAGGTTAAATGTGTTTTAATTTTGTCTGAAAGATAAGACGTTTATTTTAATATGAAGGAAAAACATTGTTTGGTATTCACGTCACTTTGGAACAGTTCCCAGCAAATTATTTCATTTATGAGTGACAGTAAAAGGTAGCTTACAGTATGTGTTGTACCTTTACAAATGAGGAAAATATGTATAATCACACCATGATAGGAATCTTTAAAAAATCATGTCAGTGGGACAAAGTTCTTTAATTTTCAAGTCAATTTTAATGTTGATCCACAATTATTTGTTCATGGTTTTGTTTGTATGAAGAAAATTCAGTGAAGAATTGAAATTAAATTCAAGAAGTGGTCTGTGAAATTCAGTTTTCCCTGAAACTGCAATGTCAAATTGATGAAAAGATTACCTTTGAGACATATTTGCTTTAAAGATTGCCCTTTAAGGTTGTGAGTTTTCATTATGTAAGTGAACTGAGAACTTGAGATGAGGTATAAATGAGACTGGTTATGACTTCAAAATCAAAATCAAGAATGCATACACTTGTTGTTAAGATAGCTGAGAACATATCATAAGAACACATACCATACATGATTAAATTTACTTTTGAGCTATTGGATCTTTACATGTAAAGTAAAGACCTGCTTCAGTGTGTGCTTTCCTCCCACATCCCACACAATGTGATATGTCTGAAATACTAGTCAAAGCAGTGTTAACCAACTCACTCACTTTCTATGCCCCTACACATACGTGGACAGGACACTCGATAGTCCACAAATTAATGTCAGACATTTTGGTAAGAACTCTAAAACCCAGAGACATGCTTCCTCGGGGAGCGGTCCATTGTCAGTCACGATTGCCTTATTCATAGCAAAGGACAAGTTATGATAAGGGCCCGTTGGACAAAGAACTTCATTTAGAGGTGTTCAGTGTAAATATTCTGAGAAACCCAAAACAGTGTAAGGTAGCGACTGTTTAAATCTGATTTTGGAGTCACGCAATGAGAGCGTAACCAGACAGTGTGTTTTTATAAACCAAGGCAGCAGCACTATATCAACAGTATTTTAGTTGTCAGCAGTAGTAACTAGGTTAAAATAATAATAACAAGTTAGAGTGTAGTATTTATTGCAGTTTGTTTTGCCCACTTTTGGCTAAGAAGCATTGAACATTTGTTACATAAATTGTATTGCCATGACAGTTCTTATAATGGCATACAGCTAGTCAGATAAGATATATATTATAATGCCCTGCAGGTGTATAAACATGTATACAGAACAACCAGGTTATAATGCCCTGCAGGTGTATAAACAAGTATACAGTACAACCAGGTTATAATGCCCTGCAGGTGTCAAAACAAGTATACAGTACAACCAGGTTATAATGCCCTGCAGGTGTATAAACATGTATACAGAACAACCAGGTTACAATGCCCTGCAGGTGTATAAACAAGTATACAGTACAACCAGGTTATAATCCCCTTCAGGTGTAAAAACAAGTATACAGTACAACCAGGTTATAATGCCCCAGCTTGCAGTATTGTGACTGATGCCAGCAGTGTTGGGTTGTAGAAGACTTGTAACTGTCTAACAGTAACAACACATGTCAATCAGCTCTTCCCTTCTTGTCAATCAAATTGAATCATGTCAATTGAACTTAGCTAATGAATGTCAGTGCCATTTAAACTTTCCCCTATTAAAGGAAGATTAAAAGAGGATAAGCTGTGAAGACAACTGAGATCAAAACACTTAAGAGAGAGATAAGTTTTGAAAAGAAGAATGATGATGATACAGGCTGTTAAGGGCAGTGTCTCCAATGTTCTCTGCTCTGCGAGTTCTGCCCAGGAACTAACAATTTAAGACATACACCTGAATGTAGATTATTTTTTATATCCCAAACTCAATCAGATGTTCTGATTGTTTTTTTTATAAAGTTGCATATCTTTGAGGCATATTTGCTAAATTTCGTCTTGCATTCCTATTTCTCTTTAGAGACATTGTAGTGATCTCTTGTATATATTTATGTTGATTTGGCTTGTCCAAAATACTTATGTGCAAGTTTACATCACAATTGAGTGTAGTTTGACTCAACTATTTGTAGATATTGTGTGAAATATCCAGTATTTATGAAGACACTTTGAAGCAATGAATGTTCATCTTTGTTTCTGATCTGAAGAGGTGAAGTCATGATTGTTTTAAGTTAACTGGTTTAATGTTTATAAGATGATGCCAATTCAGGATTTTGCAGACATTACCGATACTTGCTGTGTCATAATGGTTGTGTTTTCTGACACTGTGGAAGTTCATGTTACTTTTAGAAAATAGCCAACATGCTACAAGGAATTATGGATTGTCTGTGAATTAATGCCTATAAATACAGGTACCTCCTTCACCATAGTCCGTAACCGTAAGGATTCCAGGTCAGAATATTGGCACCCAGCAACCTACACTTGCTGTTAGAGGCAACTAAATGGATCGGTGGTCAGACTCGATGACTTGGTTGAATGCATGGACCGATGCTCATGATGTCAATCATTGGATTGTCTGTTCCAAACTTGATTGTTTCAAGACCACTGACTGCTGAGTGCAGCATTGAACAACAAGCAAGAACAAAAACACCATGGTATTTTATTCATATGGATAATACATAATTCCAATTTGCAAGTACATTATTCATTTTCTACCAATTATTTTAAGAAAGAAAATTATATGACATGACAACCCAACAAACAAACTTGATGACGTCAGCCTTGTTTTTTTTATATCGTATAGCACTGTGATAATGCAATGTCATGCACAGGGGATGACATATTGTATTGTGTCCAGATTAGTTCAGTTTACCAAGGAGCTTTGAGAATGGCTAAAATTTAAAATTTGCCATTAATTAAACTAAGTCATTCAATCTGTAAGGGTGAAAATTATACCATATCAAGTGTGATATTCTTATTACTTGAAAAGATTTGTGAAGCATGCAGCAAATTTGAACAAAAAAAACCCAGTTATTTTTCATTAAACTTTGAAACTTTTTTGCCATTTTCTTAAAACTTGGGCTCTTCCGTAAAGCTGTCTTTGTGTTACAACTATTTTAAGTCTGTGCATTGAAGGTAAGACTGTTATCAGGGATGATACATGACGTTTCTGTGAAAGCTAACAGACTCATTTGACTCAGAACAAAGGCTGTTTAGTACTTGCAATGCAACTGACTATATAAAGACAGACATTATTTATAGGAGGGTTGTGAGGGGAGTTGGCGTGTAGCAAGTTGAGTGTGTTTGCAGGTTTAGAGAAGTGCTGTGTTGAATGCAAGTGTTTTAGAGCTATAATTACTCAAATGTGGTTTTTTTAATGCAATTTTGTGAAAGATTGTGTGTTTTTGTGTTCATATTAAATGAAAACCTTTTAAAAATATATTTATTGAGTTTCTATGGTTTAAGAAAAAAACAATTTTTTTAATAAGATCAAATGAAATTTCAGATGTTACGTTCCTTGTTGTGGCAATATTCAATTACATCAGCTCTGATTGTCACCTATCTCATTCTTGAGTTAGGACCCAAGATTGATGTGTGAATTTTGTTTGAAATCTCCATATTTTTCACATATGTTTAAAATTTAAATTTTTAAAATGATGCATGAACATTTTAATTTGTACCACCAATAAATGTAGGAAGCAAATCAAATGATTTTATCTGATATTCAAAATACATCTGGGTACTAAAGTGCCACATGTACATGCCCGCTGGCAATGGAGCTTGTACAAGAGTCACACTGCATTGTGCCTGCATGGCGCATCTACCTGTATGAATATGTCACAGACGGTGAGTCTGAACTTAGGATAGATGTCTCCCACCGAAGGTGCTACCGGAATGAATCAGTTATTCAAACAATAAACGAGAAATTTCCAAAACCGACTTTGCCTCTTCCCTTTAAAGATCACCTGACTGAAAGTCATGTGAACTTGTCATTGTACGTTGTCCATTATCTGTCTGTCTTTAACCTTTACATATCGAAAACTACAAGGACTATGAAGCTGAGACTTTGAATGATCCCAGCTATTGTGGCAATATGACAAAGATGTCTTCGTTTGTTAACTGTGTTTAATCTCTTTTAGTGTAGCTGTGTACAAGAGTGTGGCTGAAGCCATGTGCTTGCAGCCAGCAGCATACTCGTGAGAGTTATCTCCCCTCCTGTCTATGGCTGAGGCCCATTTAAGGATGGGCCCACTTAGGGTTTAGCTAATACCACAGCTATGGCGTCTCTGTACTTGAATTCTGATCCAATTTTAAACATGGCCGCCACAGCAGTTGTAGTGTATTTGCCGAGTATTCAGCAATCTTTGCATATATCGTCATGACATTGATAGGCATTCTTTGTGCCCGATCTACTGTTGACAAGTCAATTCAGTTTAAAACTTTCAACCATGACACAAAAACAAAAATGGTCTTACCGTGCAGCAAAGGGAGACTACTCTGCACTTAGTGTAGTGCACAACCAAGAACACTATCCAAAAAGACCATATACCACTTCATGGTAGATGGTCTCTGATCCAAACCATGGTTTCCGGTAAATTAAATTACTAAAGCGTCTATGATGGGAAGATGGCAAGGTAAGCTGACATTGGCTGTCCAATGCTAAAGGAATTAATACCACTAAATATACTAATCCACACTTTCATAAAATATATGGAAAGTGGAAATTAATCTTTTATGTTTCATATTGCATGCGCTATCAATAAATTAAATATCTAAAAACGCATCTGTGAAAGGAAGCACAAAAACACAGATTCAAAAGGGAGGAAATTCTATTCCATTGCACTATTAGATGAAATATGACTAAATAGTTTTATTCCATTGCACTATTAGGTGGAACATGACTAAATAGTTTTATTCCATTGTACTATTAGATGGAATATGACTAAATAGTTTTATTCCATGGCACTACTAGGTGAAACATGACTTAATAGTTTTATTCCATGGCACTATTAGATGAAACATGACTATATAGTTTTATTTCATGGCACTATTAGATGAAACATGACTAAATAGTTTTATTCCATGGCACTATTAGATGGAACATGACTAAATAGTTTTATTCCATGGCACTATTAGATGGAACATGACTAAATAGTTTTATTCCATGGCACTATTAGATGAAAAATTACTAAATAGTTTTATTTCATTGCACAATTAGGTGGAATATGACTAAATAGTTTTATTCCATGGCACTATTAAGTGGAACTTGACTAGATAGTTTTATTCCATGGCACTATTAGGTGAAACAAGACAAAATAGTTTTATTCCATGGAACTATTAGATGAAACATGACTAAATAGTTTTATTCTATGGCACTATTAGGTGAAACATGACTAAATAGTTTTATTCTATGGCACTTTTAGGTGAAACATGACAAAAAAGTTTTATTCTATGGCACTATTAGGTGAAACATGACTAAATAGTTTTATTCTATGGCACTTTTAGGTGAAACATGACAAAAAAGTTTTATTCTATGGCACTATTAGGTGAAACATGACTAAATAGTTTTATTCCATAGAACTTCTGTTCGAACTGAATAACTTACATAACATAATGGCAAACAACACACCTGGGCCCATTGGCATAGAGAAGTGGCAAGACTATCAGAAATCAAAGTATGGGAGGTACATGTATAACAGATGTGTAGTTACAGCTGTTTTGTTCAAGTGGGTAGAAGTTGTAGGCATCACCCACAATAAAAACTTCACTCCTGAATTAACAACAACACAATTTAGACTTGGCATAGTACATTTTTCACAAATCCCTTACAAAATATTGCTACTTAAATATTTTAAAACTGAAAATTTTATTTTTTCATTAGACAGACTGTGAAAACATGTTTGGCACTTGTAAAAACCTAACAGGAAATAAATGAACTTGCAAGTGAACAAATTTAAAATGAAGTATACTTAAATAAATAAAATAAATGAAAAAATGATAATTTATTTTCCTTTTCGCCCATATCCCATTAACAACCGGCAATTGTAAGTATTCCCACATAATCAGTTTCATAACAAATGTATCCCTGTAGGACTGTAGAGTACTCCTGTACAAAAGCAAAAAGGATTGGCACACAATGACAATACAATCCAAATGTTTAAGTGCCCCAGAGACATGCTGTGGTATCTCTCAATTTTGTGATTATACTTATCTCAAACGTTACCATATTAAACATATTTTATTCTCACAAAAGGATAGGGCACAAGTTATCACAATATAGAATGCCCTCTTCCATAGATTTACATAATGCTGATTTTGCATTGAATACATTAAATGACAGAAAGGAAGGAAGAGAAACATATACATTAACATTTCTCCTCAAAGGTTTTTTGTTTTCTTTATATATGTAGGTACATTCCTAAAACTCTTTTCATTAACATGACTAGGTAAAGCTGCATTGGCAACTAGCATCAAGTCAATATTAACAACACAGCTATAAACCAAAACCATGAATCTATGTTCTAGCTACCTACCATCCATGTGTGTGTTGATTAACGTTGCTGGGGACCAATTCTATCCCAGAATCCCCACTACATCGCCTCTTACAACAAGCATATGTTGCTGGGGACCAATTCTAACCCACAATCCCCACTACATCGCATCTAACAACAAGCATATGTTGCCGGAGGACATATTCTAACCCAGAATCCCCACTACATCGCCTCTTAAGACCAGCATAGGTTGATGGGGACCAATTCTAACCCAGAATCCCCACTACATCGCCTCTTACAACAAGCATACGTTGCTGGGGACCAATTCTAACCCATAATCCTCACAGGGTTGAGGAAAGGATAAGGTTGGCTTGGCTCAGCCAGGATCAAGTACGTGTACATCACAATGGCTAAAAAAGCTAGTTTAAGAGAAAATTATCTATGAGAAAGTCTGTGACCCAAGATGATGTCTTCCTCTACACCTCATAGGAAACCAGCTTGTGTCGACAACTAGGTCACGTCGAAGTATGTTATTTCCAATCACAATGTCATGAATAGGCTTGATACTACCTACAGTGACCATTTCACCTACCGTGTTTCAGGCTTTTGGCCATTTTGGATAAGAATACTAAGCATTATAGCTAAAATGGATAGAATTATCATGAAACCGCCTTCATGTTATCAGAGATGAGTGGGCCACTGTAACTTGATAATGCCCTCATATTGCTTGACGGGCCATTGTCACGCCCATTGTTAGGTGACGTCATAGGGATAGGGAAAGGTGACGTCACGCTCAATAGTGACGTCATCTGGTTTTTTTCTATGACGTTTCCATTTTTGTAAAAGTGGGTCAGTGAAATTCATGTTGATTGCACAAAATGTTTCAAAACCGATTATTTTTATTTGATAACAAATTCTATTTCCCAACATTTCCCAAATTTGCAGAAGCCCTCTGTCTTTTCAACTGTCCTTAGTCGGGCAGTTAATTGAAGACCTCAGGCTTCTGCAGATGATAATGCCCTGAAAAATAGCGTTACCCTTATATTATTATCATCAAAGATGGCTGCCATATTGCCATTGCTAGTTTGCTGCCATGAACAAACTTGAGCTCCCTCATAGTAACAAACATCCACCCCAAACTCTGCTGAATCCTTCGAGCTGATTCAGAGAAGTAAAAAATGTCAGAAAATTAATGAACAATCCTCATGCCGGACTACATGGTGAGGCCAGGTGAGCTAAACATTCGTTTTGGCATTTCCAATAAAAATGAAACAATTTGTGTATATCAATATCTTTATTTATTTGGCAACACATAACAGGTGGTCTGGCAAGAGATAAATAAATGTTAACTGTCCTTTAATCACAGGATGAGTCTTAATAAATATGAAGTGACGAGAATTCACTTCCGTTTTTTCTTCTCAAAAAGGTGTTTGTAATGGCTAAAATATCAAACTTTGGATATAATATTTTTAAAAAAGGAAAAAAGATTGCGTCTCTTTAAAAGAAGTGCTTGGTCAACAATGGAAATGGACCTAAATCATCTCCATTTTTTCAGTTGGTACAGTCAGCAATGAGCATACCCACCCCACCCTACCATACCGCCATCCCGCTTCTCAAAGGGATGTATCTACTGCATGTGGACTAGAAATCGAAGAATGTTATTCCCCTTGATTACGAACCTTTACCTGGTATATACAATTAAGAGCACATACGTACCCATGACTTGTTTATCTGGAATTTTCTAATTCTGTAGGATTCAATAGGAACAGAATCATCCTGATCCATTGAATTTCACTGTAGTAATCAACATTTCCCAAATCCAACTTTTGTCGACTATTTGTAAAAAATTATTAAAACTGCCACAGGTACTGTACATCACTGGCATAAATGTTAACAGGTTTTTACCATGGATAACACTACAGTTTGACTGCATATTGAAATAACTGAAAATGAAAACAGTACTGATTGTAAAACAGCAACACTGAAACAAACCCTATGCTTGTGTAAGAGGCCCAACATAGGCCCAACAAAGGCCCAAAATAGGCCCCTACTGAAATCTTTCCTAAGAAAGATCCTCCAAGCCTTGTATACAGCAATCAAAAACAACGACTTGTTTCAGACACACATGCTAGCCATCACAATACTGTCTGGCTATTACCAGTAATAGTTTTATATCATTTCAGATAATTATGTGAAAACAAATTACACAAAATCCTGCAATGATCATGGATGTCACTGAAATATATCCTTGACAAAGCTCCCAAAGAATATTTTCATAAAGAATATAAAATACATGTAAGTCATTATCAAGCAGGCTTGTAAACAATGTGTGACTAAAGAGGCACAGACATCAAGTTAAGCAAAGTCTAATAGTTGCAGTATTCTGCAATGTTGCAATCCCCAGGTAGTCCCTAAACAAGTTATCCAGTAATATGTACAATTGTCTTCGGAAAGATCACACAATATACAAACTGTCATATATCAGAACCAGTAAAAGGACCCTGTTCCTGACTTCGGCACAAAATTCAAGCTTCTCAAAATAGTTTAAAACAAAATGACATTGCTCTATATTTCAAGAACATGAAACAAGGAAAAAGTAACCATGGTGACAGATTCTGGTAACAGCAGACCCACTTTTAATACTTTTCAACAGTTGTTTCAAAGAAAAGCGGCATTTGGTTTTCTAAAGCACTGTCAATAGATATAAGGGGATAAGCAACTCGCAAACATGTGACCAGAAAAGCTGGAGGTTTTACTTGAAATGGACAAAATAGACCATGGCATTGTAGCTCACCTGAGTACATTAATTTTTATCATCTTAAAATGTCAACAAGAGGAACAACTTTTGCATGTATCCATTGCCACACTGATGAACGCTTTACAATTTCTGTGAACATCAAAGTTTGTACTCCTATATAGTTGATCACCACCTTGCAGTGATTGTAGTCACAGTAGGATTATTACCCAGCGTGGGCAATAGTTTCTTATTGTTCCACAAACAAACAATTAACCATGTATTTACCGGTATGTCTAAAACACTTTGAGTTAAAACTAATACTTACAAAGACTAAAACAATCAAATTCCTAATCCCAAATTCGAATTTGAATTTTTTTCACAAACTTTTACCTTCATGCCAAAATACATGACAAAAGTGAAAAATTCAGATGCTCAAGATCACATGGACACTATTTTCGATTATGATTGCCATGGCGGTCTTCTGTGTTGAATGAACACTTGTAAAAAAATATGACAACAGACCCTCGGTCCAAGTGAGCTAAGAAAATACCAGAGCTCCTATATAAATATGTCCGTAGTAATCTTCTGTTGAAACTTACATGGCTTGTTAGTTTTATTTCATGAATTAGTTTACTAATCAGATTGAAAATATATTTAATAATCCAGTGAAATCTTGTAAGCTTCAGCATCTAAGTATGGAAAGTATCAGCCGAATACATGACTACATAGCAATATAACAAGGATTAATTGCTACATACACATCGCTAACAATCATAACATATGCATACTACTAACAAAACAACTACTCATACAGTGAAATGCATACTACTCAAAACAAGTAAAAAACACACGATACTTTCATATTACTATAGTGAGTTTTAGTGTGGTTTTACGCAGCTTTTAGCAATATTCCAACAAGATGGGTACACCAGAAATGGGCTTTATGCTTTGTACAAATGTCGGTAATTAAACCCAGGCCCTCAGTCTGTGAATACTTTAACTTTGAGGCTACCCCACCACCCTCATTTAACTATAGTTAACCAGTCATGGCAATGACAGATTATACTTTAGTAATATGAAAAAAACGGGTGTCTTTTTTAACTTCTTTTAAGTAGTATATTTGAGGCACATGCCTCTCTGCTTCTTTTGTATTATCCAAAAAATATCAACTCATCAATTTGACTAAAGTGGATTTAAATAATTTAAAAAAGGTAGGACTCTCTTGTCTCAAGCAATTTATCAAGTTCATGCAGTTAGAAGCACAGAGGTTTCACTGTATTAACATAGAGTCCACAGCAAAACATCACAATTTTAAACAAAAAGACTTATTAAATCAAATTAAGTCAAATTATGAAATATTGTTTTAGAAACGTTTGGTTAATTCCTTTATGCAACACAAAAACAAACATTCCGATTGATAAACTGATAAACTCCTTTTTAAACAACAACAATAACAGCAAAACATCAGGGTATGTCGAAAATTGAGGGGTCAAAGCCAAGCACATGGGACTGTTTACCTAAAGACTGGCTAATTTTGCAATGTGACAACTGTTCCAGTAACAGTGGGCCTCACAACATATGGAGTGTCCACCACAAAAAATGGTGTAGGAATCAAGGTGATTATATTTTATATACTGTGTTCCAGACAAAAATTACAATGTGTAATTCTCTTTCAATGTAAACACTGTAAAACAATTAGCATGACACTTCCAGGACTGGTAAACTACAAACACTGCAGCCTAATTTTCAGAAGGCATGAAAATCAAGTGTTAAATGGGCACTGTTATGTTCTATCAGAATCCTCGTCTGTTGACATTAATGAATGACTATGTCCTGCTTTCCAATCTAGGTCTAGACCATGTAACTAGCAACACGTGAGAAATGGAGCTATTGATTATGTGAAATTAGGGCCATTGTTAACTGTTTAACTGTCAATAATTTTGCGTCAGCATACAAAGCAGTGTTTAAGAGACTTGAATGTAACTCGCTCGAACTGCCATTTTGCCTGAACTTGACCACTCCTTCAAGCTGTCCGTCTTGGGAGAGGCGAGGAGCAAGCCTAATGTAACACTAGCATCTCAACTTTGTGTACACTTCTCAGTACGTCCAGCATTTTGGCACACATTGTACCCATATGAATATAATCCAGGTCTTCTATGTAAAAAGCAAATGCTTTATCTACTTTGCTATTCCACCATCCTTAACATAATATTATCTTTTCTAATTTATAATCAATCATTTTAATAATCAATAAAAGATGGAGCTGCTGGGTATATAAAAATAATTGAAACTATTTTTATTGTATGATCAAGGCTTTGGCTCCGATTCCAAAACCGTAAAACCAATCAACTGTGGCCTAACAGATAGTTCCAACATGTCAAGAGGTGATCAACAAACAGGTGATTGAATGACAGCTTGATGAAGGTGATTTATGATGATGGTGATAAATAGAGCTGATCTATGGTTGGTGGTAAGGGTGTCTCATGTGTATCTTCCCAGCACCATTGTTCTTAAAAAAGGAGGAACCTGAAATATAGAAAACAAGTTTAGATCTTTCTCATTTGGTTTTGTTCTGTTTGTTTGTTGTTAAACGCCACACTCAGCAATACTCCAGCTATTTGATAGTGGTCTGTAAATAATCAAGTCTGGACCAGACAATCCAGTGATTGACATCGATCTACGCCATTGGGATGTGATGACATGCATCACGCAAGTCAGCGAGCCTGACCACCCGATCCCGTTAATCGCCTCTTACGACAAGCATAGTCTGCTTTTACAGCAAGCATGGGTTGCTGAAGACCCATTCTAACCCGGATCTTAACGGGTACTTTCTCATTTGAGCATGAATAATGTTAAAAGGCGTTATGTAACAACTACCTGTAACCCGGGTGTCAGTACCTTTGAGTCAGTATGTTGCAAGTTGAATGGATTGGAACTTATCTTACTTCATGTAACAAATCACAAGCAATCGACCAATCAAAACATTCCTCCATGCAGGGGGTGGAGTTACCTTTCATGGTTTGTCTTGTCAAGTATGTCAGACAAGAGTGGATCTTATTTGTGAGGAGGCTGAAATGCTGTACAATTTGTAAAGGTGCTACAAATCCCCTGATAAAAGACATGAGAACCCCTCTTAACTTGACTTCAACATCCAGACTGATGCTGATTTTATAGTGCTAGCCCACTGAGGTACCATGCCACAGTTTAACATGAATACCCCACTCAGACACAGTATACTGACACCAAACTGACCAGTCCTTGTTTTAGTTTTTTTAATACCAGGCAGGGTAACAACAAGTATCATCTTTAATGTCTTTGGTAATGACGTGGCCGGGGATCAAACCCCGGACCTTCCGCTTTCTGGGCCAACACTCTACCACTAGACCACGGAGGCAGTCTCTGTTTTGTAAGCACAGGAGCAGGGCTCACCTCGTCAGCATCATTGAGGGCATCTGTGATCATCTTCTCAATGTTCCTCATCATGGCGACCTTCTGCTGAGGTTTCAGTGGGTACACAACTTTCTCAGTGGGGGCTGACTAAACACAGCATGTCACATTGTACACAAGAAGTGGGAAATTTCATAAAGGGCTTTAAACAATTTTCATATAAATAAAATGTCCAATAGGGTCGGACTGATGTTGGGAGGACAGCATGGACATAAAAAACGTAGATGTAAAAAACAACATTTTCTACAGCTTTTTCTGAGAAGTATTAAAATGTATTTTCTCAACATTGTCAAGGCTGATCATTAAAAAAGCCAAGAAGTAAAACTTGCTTATCCTCATCTACATATATATATTCAGCCATCTCTGCCTTGTAGCCCCATGGAAGGAGAGTTTTCAACATTTTCTATTAAATCTTCAAGAATCCTTTATTTCAATGGCATGGAACTTTCACGGAAGTTTCACCCTTTTGGTTTCCATTTAACTTTGCCTCAATCAGGGTTGGTGACTCAAACCCTCTAATTCTTGTCCAGACTGTCAAGGCCTTCAAGTAAGTTGTTACTGTCCGTGAAATAATTGGCCTGACAGTGTTGAAACGTAACCTTTGATGTCACTGAATTTTGACCCATTTGCAAATGTTCCCAAAACCTTGATCTTGTTGGTGAATCAGTACAACAGGGTGCAACTGGAAATGTGTTTAAATTACGTGAAGAAACAGAAACAGGCTCATCCCCAAACTGTGCCTCTAGCTACCTTCATAACAAAGTTATAAGCACTTCCGACTTAATGACATCACTTCCAGTATGGGAGAACATACGCCCAATACAGCACAATGTATCTATCTACCTTAATAACAAAACTAAAAGAACTTTTGTTTCAACCACATCACAGACCGTATAAGTTATCAAATGCTATAACCACTACATGCAAATGACTTTTAAAAGACCTGCCAAAAAATACATTTTAGAAACAATGGAAAACATACTCTACAAATGACCTTCACCTCACACTTAAGTCACTCATGACCTTTTCCAACCTTGGCCACACCCTAAGGATGGCAATGTGGCTTAAGAAAAAAAGTGCTGTGGCAGGGTCAAATTCAGACAAAATCTTATAGCATGCATATTGTCATGGTGCTGTCACATTATCAGTCATACCAACCTTGTACCAGAAGTTGACCGACACAGTAACACCCCTATTTGGCACTGACTCCACTTGGTGCCACCTGCAAATATACAGACAATACATGAGTGAGTGAGTGAGTGAGTATGGTTTTACACCGCTTTTAGTATTATTCCAGCAATAGCACAACGGTGTACACCAGAACTGGGATTCACAGATTGTACCCACATTGGGAATTGAACCTGGGTCTTCGGTGTGACTGGCGAATGCTTTAACGCTTTAAGTTTTGCACCAACAGCAAAAGACCACGACTCAAACAACCATTCAAGTCCCCAACAAAGGGACATGTGCATATTAAGGTCCTAAGAAATACTAAGTTAACTATTTTTGTTGACAATGCTTCATAGGCATATTCAGTTTCATTTAATGTTTCTACCCATGAAAATCCGGGTTAGAAAAAAAATAATAGAACTTCAGAAACCCATGCTTGTCGTAAGAGGTGACTGACGGGATGGGGTGGTAAGGCTCGCTGACTTGGTTGATGCATGTCATCGTATCCCAATTTGCATGGATCAGTGCTTATAGTAACAATCACTGGATTGTCTGGTCCATACTCGATAATTTACAGACCGCCGTCATATAGCTGGAATATTGCTGAGTGCGGCGTTAAACAACAAACAAACAAACACACAAAAACTACTATACAAAGACATATACTACCAGTACTACATATACTGCTACTGCTACTACATGTACTACCGTATTCGACGTAATAAGCGCCCTGCTCTAATAAGCGCCCACGGAGATATTTGCTAATATATTGGCTAATGAACAATCTCAGTTAGCATCCCTTCCAATTGATTAATGTACACAAGACTTATTTATTTGTGTATAATACGCACTCGTATGTCATATGCATCCTTAATTATGGGCAATTATATCCTGGAAAAATATATCTCTCATATATAAACATTTCAGGCTGTCAGCATAAACCACAAAATTTACGATCTTTCAACTCAAAATAATATCCTAATAAGAGCTCCCTACTTCTAATTTTGACAGCGCCCTGGGCGCTTATTACGTCGAATACGGTAATACTTATACTGTTGCTTCTGCTGCTGCTATTGGTGCCGTGATGTGTTGATCGATGCTCATGATGTCAATCACTGAATTGTCTGGTCCAGACTCAATTATTTACAGACCGCCGAGGCGAAGGGAGAGGGTGAGGGAGAGTAAGGGAGAGGGAGGGGGAGAAGGAGAGGGAGGGGCAGAAGGTGAGGGTGAGGGAGAAGGTGAGGGGGATAGGCAGAGGGAGTGGGAGAGGGAGAGGGAGGGGGAGGAGGAGAGGGAGGGGCAGAAGGTGAGGGAGGGTGAGGGGGATAGGCAGAGGGAGTGGGAGAGGGAGAGGGAGGGGGAGGAGGAGAGGGAGGGGCAGAAGGTGAGGGTGAGGGAGAAGGTGAGGGAGGGGAGAGGGAGGGGGAGGGGGATAGGTAGAGGGAGTGGGAGAGGAAGAGGGAGAGGGAGGTAGGGGGAGGTTGAGGGGGGGAGGTTGAGGGTGAGAGGGAGGGGGAGAGGGCAAATGCTCTTAAAAGTGTTCTTAAAAGGAGGTTGGACTGTCAAGCAACAACATGGAAACTACATACCAATACACAGGCAGGTACAGGACGTCCCCGGGTCCGACAATTGCCTCGTGGCCTTTCACATCTCTGAACTTAGGGAATCTCTTGAAGTCAGGGTTGTCAAAATCAACCTGAAACATGATCCAAATGAAAACATAGTAAGACAACTGTTACTGTGACATCTGGTTGAATGCATGTTTTTATCATTACTTTTACACATTTCTCTGGAGCAAATACACATATACACATTTGAAATCGATTTCTTACACATTTATTTTGTGAACGATGGGACACATTATGTGAGAACTCACTTGACTCTGTCTGTCATGAGGATGGAAAATAGGGTATGGGTAGAGGCATTCAAACTGGGACGGTTCAAACAACAGGAAACGTTTGAAGCCCTGGATCTGAGCGAAGAAGTTCTGTTGTTCATCATAGTGAGCTGGCGTGATGACACCTGAAAACACACAACACCTTTACAAAGCATCATCAGACACCGACGAACAAGTGAATGATGTTTCATGCCAGCCACCACTATTCCAGTCATAGTGTAGCCTGTAAGTAATCACATCCGGACCCGGCAGACCAGTGGTTGATAGCATGAGCAGCAATCCATGCCAGCAGGAAGACACCAATGATGACAAGGCATGTGTCATGGCTACTTATTCAGCATTGGACTTCAGAGAGAGTGGGTTGGATTTGAAGCATCTTCAAGGCGGAGGGACACCAGAAATGGGCTTCACACATTGTACACATGGGGAATCGACCCAGGTCTTCCGAGTGACGAGCAAACGCATTAACAACTAAGCTACCCCACAGGCCCATGAGATTTCAGAACTACATTGTCATGAGTATATAGCTGCCACTCAACCACAACAACACTTCTTGTTTACTAATCGAGAAATATTTTGTCTTTACACAGAAATTTGTGTAGATATGTTGACGACAGAAAAGAGTTTGATTTAATTCTGAACACTCCCATCATGATCAAAGCCTGCCACTAATTGTGTGCTGGATTTACCACACTGCTAAGATGTTGCTTAGGAGTAAAGGACATACTCCTAATTACTGTCTGATGAACATTTTCAGAAAGGACATCCATGTGTCTTTTCAAGCAGGATGTATTTTTGATCAAAGAGAAGTGAAACGTAAGTGGTTGACTATTCTTTCATATTAGAACAGTCACTGACAGTATCAGTAGTATCGACATTTCACTTGTCATCAATGTGTGGGGGCATGGACAGTTTCAAGGCACTGCTTGGTCCCTCCCGTGTACACACCGTCCATGCCTATGAGCAGGAGGTTGGAGGTGAGCTGCCCCCACTTGAACTTCTTCTGCTGCTCCATGATCCAGTTCCAGTTGAAGCCCATGAAGTCCATGACGATCCGCTGGTCCACCGAGTCATTCAGGGCCTGCTGCAGGTAGTACCTGGAACAACACATACATGTAAGACATAATACTTTGTGTTTGTTGGTTAGCACCACACTCGGCAATAGTCCAGCTATATGATGCTGGCCTGTAAGTTATCAAGTCTAGACCAGACAATCCAGTGATTGAGAACAACCGTCCATGCTGATGGGTTAAGATGACATGCAATCAACCAAGTCACCAGGTCTCTTACAACCAGCAACCTATGTTCTCAGATCTTACCGTGGAGAGACATCATACAGTAAAAAATCTAACTTTAAAAAGATTGACTCGAGCCAATTATACATCACCACCCATGAAACCCATGAGCATAGTATGGTGCTGACGAACCAAAAAATCCACAATCATAGGTTTCTGGCACACCCAAGGGATGTAACTCTGCACAATCCCTGAAAAGACTAGGCCACCTGTGCCCTGCCTAACTAAGATCTTTTTTCATAATGAATATATGTATACATGTCACATTGATTACTACATCTTGCAACCCATGCTTGCCGGATCGGATGGTCAGGCTCGCTGACTTGGTTGATGCATGTTATCATACCCCAATTACGTGGATCGATGCTCATGATGTCAATCACTGGATTGTCTTGTCCAGACTCGATTATTTCCAGACCGCCGTCATATAGCTGGAATATTGCTGAGTGCGGTGTTAAACAACAAACAAACAAACATGCCTGTAAGCTAAACAACACAAGTTGATTATTCGTTTGTATGTCGTCACAACTGTACCTTTCAGAGCCAGGGCTGCTGCTGTTTACTTTGCTCTTAAATTCATCAAAGGTCAGATCCATGTGTTTTGTGGGTGGGACAAAACCAGGCACATAACTCATTTTCTTTTCATCAAAGTAGAGGAACTTGTGGTTGCTTGAGGAGTATACGGTGTAAGTACCCTCGCCGATGTTTGACCCCAAGTAGTCCAGATTCCAGTGGAGTGCGGACTTCACCAGGTCCGTATCCGTTAAGATGACAGGTTGCTGAATGAACAAGGGTAGAGTGAGTGAATGAGTTGGGTTTAATGCCGCTTTTAACAGTATTCCAGTTATATTGCTATGTGTCAGCTTAATGTGGGAGGAAAGCCCGAAGTGATGCAGGGCTCAGACGTTTACCACTTTTGGGAAATCCAAGAGCATTGGTCTTGTGCTGACAAACCTTGAAACATAATCGCGGCGAACCGGGATTCGAACCTACAATCATAGGTTTCTGGCGTGCCCAAGGGACGCAACTCTGCAAAGCGAATTGCAGCTCCTTAGAAGACTAGGCCACCTGTGCCCCCAAACAAGGGTAGAATATGAGTCAACACTTATGGACATGAGTGGAACACAGTCAAATAAATCAACTGATTCATGACAACATGTACTGAGCTCAAGATACGCTTTGGGTTAATTAGGTATTTTACACATGGGTTTGATTTCTATTGGATATGCAGAATTTTTAATAGGTATTCACAAAACATTTTACCCGCTTATTTCCTTACATTTGGGTATTTTAACTCGAAAACCTGTTTCGTAACAATCCCTGTAGATCATTTAAAGTAGTATACACATGTTTTACCAAATGTAACCGTCGGTAAATAAATTTTGCAATCACCTGATATACACTAATTTTATCTGACAGTTGAAATATATGCATTAGATCTATTTCAATAGCATTTTCATAGGTTTAGTTTAGCATATTTCAAATCAATGTGTATTTCACAAAAAAACACAGCTTATCTACAACTCTGATGTACATGGTAATACATTCATTGAAATACACTCTAAGTGACTTAAAACAGAAGACAGAAGCATGTAGTCATAACTATAACAAGAAAACCTATGAAATGAACTTAAGCCTATTGTTGTGAAATGTTTCGTTACCATAACCATATTACCTTGACAGAGGTATAATAACTGTACATACACCTTTACTTTAATGGTTTGTTAATTATTATGCCCAGCCCAAATGAAGTTTTGCAGGGGAGGTCGAAACACAGCTGTCCATCACTTTTCGATTCTGGAGCTTGTAAACTCTTAAACCATTCAATATTTCTTCATGCAACTTAATTTTCACATCTTTACTTCATGCAACTTAATATACACATCGACCCGTGAAGATTCCAGGGTAGAATAGGTCTTCAGCAACCCATACTTGCCGTAAAAGGCAACTATGCTTGTCGTAAAAGGCGACTAATGGGATCAGGTGATCAGACTCACTGACTTGGTTGATACATGTCATCGATCCCAATTGCGTGGATCGATGCTCATGTTGTCAATCACTGGATTGTCTGGTCCAGACTCGATTACTTTACAGAGCGCTGTCATATAGCTGGAATATTGCTGAATGTGGCGTTAAACATGTTAAACAACAAACAAACATACAAAAACTACTATACCACTACATATACTACCAGTACCACATACAAACAAACAAATAAACATACACTGAACTTGTGCCTTGTGCTATTCAGGATTTTAAATATATTTTTGCTGCTTTTCCATGGCAGCAAGTAGGAATTTAAATGAGGGTAGGGATCGTGTCCAAAGAATAACCCATACAATGTTTCTCTTTTCTTTGTATCAGACAAGTGCTGAACTAGTGGGTTATGCTTACTGAGATTTTGCCCTTACGAGTAAAACTAAGATTCAAATGAGGGTTTCAATTTGTTGTTTAGTCATCTGTCATAATGGTATAATGAGGTATATGGTATATACGTTGTTTTATTTGTGCACATAAAAGGATCAGGGATATTGATGAATTTATCCTCTTGAAATGTGTTCTATCATTTTGCTTAATCCATCCATGACAATCAGTAATCCAGCTGAATTAGTATTGAGCTCAGATTGGCTTTTGGATGACAGAGAATGCACATTCCTTGTAAGATCCTCCTGCCCGATAACTTGCATGAAATCATTCTTATCCAATGTCAACTTCAAACTTGAATATTCACGTAATAAATTAATATAACAAAAAGGATTCACTGGAAAAATATTACGTATGATAAAGTAAAAAGTCTGTGTACGTGATACTCAACATGTAGCCCTCAAAAGTGACATGTGTCATGTCATTTACACTCATATAGTACCAAAAAAATCGTCTGGAGACTGCCATTGACTACACGCGCTATGTCACGTACGCATATTCTCTTCACTAAACGGGTCTCCTGCACCGCAGAAATCAACAAAAACAACAGAAAGGAGCTTGCAAACCTTGAATAAAAGATACTGTTGTCACAATATCTTTATTATTAACCCCATTTACCAACGTGAGCTATTTAACTGTAAGGCCCTTGCCTCAGCCAGGTGTTGAAAATGTAAACAATGGGCACGTACCGCCTGTCAAGCGTTATAAAGCGATTGCCTAGTCTAACTTAAATGAAACGGCACTTACTTCATTAGCAATTAACTTCTCCGCCTTAGGATCTGTACAACTGAGTCTCGGAATGGGCTCTGGTGTGAAGGTGTACTGTTTAACTTCCTTGGAAACTTCTCGTAGCGTATCTTCTGCCGTAGCAGCCGCCATGATTGTGTTCAAGAGGACCAGTCATTGATAGGTAATTCACCTAGAAGCAACATAAACTACGCGTCACTAGAAAGTTTTTATTACAATTCACTTATTATGGAAACATGAAGTATAGATATTAGACGATAACAAAATATCTATATTGCAAAATATCCAGAATAATACGTAAAATAAATAAATGTACACAAACTGGTCCCCGATGGAGAAAATAGTAAACACATCGTCCACGTGATGTACTTCCTCGTTTGGTTTACAGAATGATACGTTTTCATATTCGCGCATTTTCATTGATTCATGTTCAAGTCAATCCATTTGATAATGGTGCTTGAACTGTTAAATAGTAATGCATCACTTATTTGTAAATTCGAGTGCTAGGCTTACCAACTGACAGGTGCGTGGTGGGGCCCTATAAGGGTTTTGCCTAAGAAATTGATTCAGGCAAACTCTATTATCATGAAAAAATGACACAGAGGGCAGGGAGAATGAAAATAATGACAGTTATATTTATTTATATAAGGAGACAAAATATGATCCGGTCCAAAGCCAATCTCACCACCCTCCCCTGTAGTAAATGACCAGTCCTTCCCTGGAATATTGCGGAGTGACAGCAAGCAGGCAAACAGACAATATGAAAATGAGGTACTATTAGTAACATACTTTACAAAACACCAGGACCCCGTTTCTATGAACATGTTTCACGACACGTAAAGATTCTGCGAAACCTGCGACTTCTTCGTGCGGGCATGCACGTACAGGGCAGACACTCACATGAAACACACGCTGTGGAAATATGAAATACAACATGTACTTGTGAGGCGACATAGATGGATCGGGTGTTCAGGCTCGGCGACGTGATTGATTGCGTGTCATCGTACTCCGACAGACATGGTAACAATAAGTACCATCTTTTAACGTCTTTTGGTATGACGCGGCCGGGGATCGAACCCCGGACCTTCCGCTCTCCGGGCGGACGCTCTACCACAAGACCACGGAGGCGGCACACGTGAGTTGAATCTGTCTCTATATAGATCTCTTTTGAAATATTTTGAAATCATGAATAATGCATACATACATAATGACAAAACAGAGAAAAGAAGTGAAGCTCAAATGCAATTATAAAGAATCGCAAGCTCCGACGTTCACCTAGTTTGACGCTCACTCTCTGAAGGTTAATACTCCAAATAACTCACACAAAGTGAAAGTCGACGTAACCATAACATTGTTGACGTTAATTATGATAACGTCTGATTGTTTAGGCCTCATTGACCCTGTATAAGCTTGAAAAGACACTATTCGACACTACAGTTACATATACAAATTGTGAGGACCGCCTCCGTGGTCTAGAGGTAGAGCGTCCACCCGGAGAGCGGAAGGTACGGAGTTCGATCCCCGGCCGCGTCATACCAAAAGACGTTAAAAGATGGTACTTGTTGTTACCCTGTCTGACGCTCGGCATTAAGGGGCTAAAGCAAGGACTGGTCGGCTCGGAGTCAGTATACTGTGTCTGAGTGGGATATTCATGTTAAACTGCGGCATGGAATCTCAGTGTGCTAGCACTATAAATCGCCATCAGTCCAGACTAGTACAAGCAGCCACACACACACACGTGCATGCACGTCGCTATATAAGTGCAATAATCTTGGACGCGACGTTAAACCCCATTTCACCTCACCTCACATACAAATTGTGAATAACGAAGACATATACACATCCGTTATAGCATAGAACATCCGAAATATTCTTTTTATACAGGGGCCGCAGAGAAAGGAAATGTTCAAAGATATAAATGTAAAGTGAGTGAGTGAGTGAGTGAGTTGGGTTTAACGCCGCTTTTAACAGTATTCCAGTTATATCGCGGCGTGTCAGCTTCATGTGGGAGGAAAGCCCGAAGAGATGCAGGTCTCAGACGTTTACCATTTCGGTGAAACCCACGAGCACGGGTATGGTGCTGACAAACCTAGAAACATTATCGGGGCGAACCGGGATTCGAACCCACAATCATAGGTTTCTGGCGTGCCTAAGGGACGCAACTCTGCACAGCGAATCGCGGCGCCTTAGACGACTGGGCCACCCGTGCCCCCTAAATGTAAAGATGTAGATGTGAAGATGTAGATGCCTCACTCGTATTCAAGAAATACAAACCGAGTTAGACAATTAGAAATATCGAATGATTCATTGTTATCGGATGGATCTTGTTTTACATATGTCGTAAGCAGGATAAACGTTATCGAACACAGGGTTCTGAAACCTTTCCTTGAATCTTGAAAGATTGTTGGCTGCCTAAAAACAACATTCACACTGTCATCGTCTGTAGAACCCAATCGTCACAACGAGATGGACGGTCATCGTCTATAGCAACCAATCGTCACACCGAGATGGACGGTCATCGTCTATAGCAACCAATCGTCACAACGAGATGGGCGGTCATCGTCTATAGCAACCAATCGTCACAACGAGATGGACGGTCATCGTCTATAGCAACCAATCGTCACAACGAGATGGACGGTCATCGTCTATAGCAACCAATCGTCACAACGAGATGGACGGTCATCGTCTATAGCAACCAATCGTCACAACGAGATGGACGGTCATCGTCTATAGCAACCAATCGTCACACCGAGATGGACGGTCATTGTCCGTGGAACCTAAGGATAACACGAGATGGCCTGTTATCGTCTATGGAACCCAATCGCCACAATGAGGTAGTCTGTCTTCATCTATGGAACAAAATCGTCACAATGGATGGTCCGACGTCGTCTACAGAATCCAATCGTCACAATGAGGGAGTCTGTTATCGTCTACAGAACCCAGTCGTCACAATAAGGTAGTCTGTTATTGACTATGGAACACAGTCGTTACAATGAGATGGTCTGTTATCGTTTATGGAACTCAATCGTCACAATGAGATGGTCTGTTATCGTCAGTAGAACCCGGATGTCAAACGAGACGGACGGTCATCTTTTACAGACCCCATGTCGTCGTCTAACCAGCAAACGACGTAATTGTCATCAATCGCTGTGTCCACAGAGTAACATCATTATTGTATCCACTACATACATAGGGACGTCAAAGTTCGAGCCGCTCCATGCATATGAGTGGTAGAGACGTTTTCTTATTGCATATAATATAGAAGTCAATAAGTGAGTGTATGAATGATATTTAACGCCACAATATTCCATCTATATCATGGAGACCTGTAAATAATTGAGTCTGAAACAAACAAGCCAGTGGTGGATATTATGAGCACGCCCCACGCTGTCGGAGTACGATGACACGCAATCAATCACGTCGCCGAGCCTGACCACCCGATCCATCTATGTCGCCTCTTACAAGCATATAGATTGCTTGAAATCAATTTTATGACCCGGAATCCGTGCTTGTTTAGGCTGCATAAGGCGTTCGGTACTACCAATATTACCTAATTAAAATTACATACGATATGGAGTTATGTTTTTATAATGTTTGAATAATGCTGTACACACTTGTTAACATTAATCTAATGAATAAAACAGTGATAAACCTCAATGTTGAAACAAGATAATTTGAATTCAATGACGTAATTCGCGATTGTTTTATTACTTTCTCGGTGTCCTTGGTTACGTTGCTTTGTAAATCTTTTATAAATAACAATCAGCTTATATTCAGAACCCATTGTTTATAGTGCAAACATTATTGTGATGAGGCTGTTCGGCGAAAGAAGGCTAAGTTTAAATGCTGACGCTGACAGATATGATTCAGGGGAGACAATCGTGTATGTCCTATTGGCAGCGTGAAGCGCAAATAGATTTCTTGCGATTGAAGACCGCTCGAAAATCATGAAACTGTACTTGAACATACTTTCGGTATTTCTGTGTATTTGATGTAGTAATAATCCCAAAACTACGTGTTTAAAGGGAAATAACTGCTTCTCAGTGATATCAACACTTAAAACTCTCACAAGCAATTCTATGTGGGGGAAGGGGAGAAAACGCATATTTTGTTTAAGAAACGAACATAGTAAATTCGCTGATAATTTTCTCAATTATTTTAGGCATCCTGTTCATAAATAGGATTGGTTAATCAATGCTTTGATCAATCCATTCGGCGTGTCAATGTTTATAGTAAATGTTGGTTATAAAGTCATCTGAAGTTAACTGGCAAAGCCATTGCAGTAGTTCCAGTATATACGCTGCCCATGCATGCGGGGGCACGTGTTCCGAACACCCGGGATACCCCTGATGCTGTTACATGCATGGGCGAGAAAACAATGTTGATGGAACTGTTGACGCGCTGAATTCTGAGAAGTCATTTTGTCAAAAAAGACGTGCTCCACGTGGACGTGAAAGAATTATTCTGATAAAACTTCTTTTTGTCTAATGTTTTAATTTAAATGATTAAATTAATCGGTGGGTGGTTTGGTTCAACACAAACACACACGCACACACGCACACACGCACGCACAGACAAACACACACACGCGCACAGACACACGCACACACACACACGCGCGCACGCACGCACACACAGACACACACCCACCCGCACAGATCCATCACTGTCACGATGCGCTGTGACGTCGTCACTACTGTGGCATTATAGATATATTGTTACAAGTGCCTTATGTGTAACGGAGACACTGTCTCTGCGTATATAGGTGGGCAGTGCTGCTAGATTGGTGCACGTCACAAAATGGCAGTTTGCAGACTATATCAAACCGGTTTCGGCTTGATTGGGAGTACTGCTGCGTGCATGAGAAAGCCATGGAATGGCTGTGTTTATGTCAAGCAATTTAAACAAAAAGACGTGAATATTACGTCTATCGGGATGCAGTGTACCATGGTACAACAGATAAATATGAGAGAACATTTTGTAAAAAAAATTGTGTTATAAAAAAGAAATGTTAACGGAAATGTCAAATAGAAATGCATTTATTCCGTATTTGTTCAATGCTTAATATCAATGTATCCTTAACATTCATGTATCCTTTCTCTCTCCCGTCCCCCCTCCCCCCCTTTTTTTACTATAGACAAAAACCCTCTTTTTGACACTGAAAAAATGTCAGTGTGATAGGAACCAAACCTTGATGCACCTCCAAGTAACAAATGTTGGTAGTGAACTTATAGACATGGAACCAAATCTTCTTTACTCTAAGACTGCTAATTTACCCAAGCCTGTATATGCCCCTTTGTCGCCACATCAGACATTGTCAGCGGTTGGTGGTACGTCTCACGAATGTGATCAACAACTTATGAACAGTATCCATAGAAGAAAATGTGAATATCAACCGGGCATAGTGACACAACGATGTCAAAGCGTTGCGAATTGCGTAAACACATACACTATAATTCTACACGGAGTTATCCGAGAAATTCTAAGATCATTCTTGATTATCCAGTGCCATATGTCCATTCTATTGTGATCAATAAGATGGACCCTTCGCTATGAACTTGGTCGCTAAATATATTGCCGTACAATCACATTACTTTCACGAGCGAGAGAAATCCTGTGCAAAGTATCCAGGGTAAAGGGAGGTCTTTACCCTTGATAAAAGTTACCAGATTGGAATGATGGCGGTTGTGACAGGTGTCACTTCTGAAACAAAGCCGTGGTGGAGAATTGTCCAGAAAATTTATAACAATACCCTGCATTATTGAGGATAGTGAAAATATTTATTTCGACAGCGATAACGCTTAATTTGCTCTGAGAAAAAAAGGAACCGTCTCTATGTTCTAAATATACATTGACTAGTCATTCACTGCACGATGCATATCCTTCCCATGCTCTGATACACCAATACCATGTGATCAATATATACCTATCACTGGGATATCAATGATAACTAACAATGAAAGAAATAACCACACCATATGTGCCCCATGCTTGTCGTCAGAGCTGAGCTGAGCTGAGCTGAGCTGAGTGAGGATCGGTTGGTCACCTGGGTCCGTCACACAAGGCATCGTTGAGCTACGACTGCCGTAAGTCTGTGTTAAACTGTGGCAGTTACGACAACCGTAACCCTACGATGTCTTTGTGAAACGGAAACCTGACGAATTATGTGCTGTCGTATTCCAGAACGACGTGGGTCGTTTTCCTTTTATCTACCACGTTATATTTCTCCCATCCTGATTACATTGTTTCAATGTAGTAATACAGCTTAACTTGCGTTATCTGCGGTGTAAAACAACATTCACTCTCATCTTTTCGTTAATTGATGAATCATCATTTTATGACTGATACACAAATAAGTTGACAATTCCCGATATAGACAGACATTCTTCCGCAATCGATCATTTTCGAGATCGCGATCAAAAACACATTTAACTGAACAGTTTATTGACAAGTACGTGATGAACACTGATGATCTCCCAGGACTGGGATATCTATCCACATGTTGTGTGAAGCAGACCCATGTTGCTGTCTTGTTTCAATTATTTGATTAATGGCTCCAGGCTTCAGGTGTTAAGTCAATTGTGCCACCACAATGGGGGTTTAGTGATACTAGAAACATTATAACTGTTGCAATGTTGAGTGTGAGCTTAATATCCGATACGCGAGAACATAAATATGTCACTTTGGCAGAGAAAAACTACACGGTGTGAGTGCCGTTGGCATGTGGAGAAATTCGGTCACAATCATTTCCTATAGAGGAATTCCTTCGCCGGTCACAATTCATAATTGCATCTATATCGCGTCTAGCGGGGGAAATGCCAATGATACCTGCCTACAAATAGGCACATCATCCGCTGACTCCTACAATTATACACTGAACTGTGGCTTGTATCGTGTTCTAGGTTACACGACACTGCTGCACTACTACGGTATGTCAGCACGTGGGGGGACTGTGTATTGTTTACGATTTTAGTATATTCCAGTCATAATGTTTGTTTGTTGTTTAACGCTGCACTCAGCAACATACCAGCTATTAACGGTGGTCTGTTAATAGACGAGTATTGACCAGACAATCAAGTGATTGATGTTATCGACCTACGCAATTGGAATACGATGACATATCAACCAAGTCAGCGAGCCTGACCACCCGTTAGCCGCCTCTTACGACAAGCATGTGTTGCTGGAAACCAATGCCAGGTTAAAATAGGTCTTCAGCAACCCATGCTTGCCTTAAAAGGCGACTATGCTTGTCGAAAGAGGAGACTGAATTATTCCGGGTTGTCAGGCTCGGTGACTTGAAATTGTACGATTACCGGTCATTGTGTCCCAGTTGTATAGAACGATGCTCATGATGTCAATCACTGGGCTGTCTGGCCCAGACTCGATCATATACAGATCCCGGTCATCATGATGGAAAATGACGGCGTTCTACGATATTTCAACAAACAAAACAAATGAAGACAATTAGACATTACGGAACGCGAATTGCCAGATCACAAAGCGCATTACTGCTTTTCCCCAAACCAACATCCGCGCTTGTACACGCTTATATAACAATTTATAGCCATGTGATGGGGACCCACGTCATTGCCAGGGGAAAACATGCATCATTTACGGGTAACCTACGTAATACACACAATTCATTGTCTGTCGGCAGCCGGTTGTTGCATGTCGATGTATCTGTCCTGGCTCTATGAAGGGTATGAGTTGATCGGCAAGTTTTTGACATTATCCATCAATACAACGCATGGTCGTTGTTAATCGCTCTGATTGTGTGATAGGGCAATGTATTTCTACCTGACCTGGCTCACGAATGTGACGTGATATTTACAACAAAATCCAAACATACTTTTATCTTAATTCCTCAGATCACAAACCGTCGTGATTGATCGAGCATGTTTGGGTCAATAATTTGAAAGGTATACACACAACTCGAATAAATCATTCAGTAGTTAATCCCCTCTCCCCCAATCCCTCCCAGGTGGGCTGTTTTCTTCTGTTTATTAAAGAAACAGGCGTGGTCTAACACTATTCGTTTTATTTCGTTTAGAAGACAACTGGTGTACCTACAGTATTTGTGAATATTTAAAACGAATCATTGCCTTTGTGAATTATAACCCCGACATTTATATAATTTCCAAAATAAAGTTATGCGCAATGTATCAAGTTATTCGGGTTTTCAGATATCTCAAAACAGTATAACACCTACCAAGTTTTTTAAAGGACTTGTTGATGGATATTACTGCATCATCTCCATGTTCATGTCGTATTAAGTATAACACTACTCATTTAATTACATACTGCAAGGCAATCATCCATGGTTTATATTATATATTAAATAATGGTTGTTACGGGTTGTTTTTTAAAAATGTAATTGAAAGCATGGTGGTTATTTACTGTAAACAGAACTGCAGACTGACGCTTTATCATGTAAATTTAAATTTGAATTCAAATTTCAACACGTACATAGTGTTATCGGTGGATATGTCACTCACTTGTCGCTGTATAAAAATACAACTGGAGGAAAATAAACAGACTTATCTATCATCAATGGGAGTATCACCCACGTGCGACTAGTTAGTGATAATTGTCTTGTCTATGTCGTAACGATGTTTCCTAATACGCTATCATTGAAAAAGAGTTTAAGAAACGTGAGCCGATCCTACAGCTCTCTCCCAGTTTTCTCGCCCTCAAAGTATTGAGTTTATTATCTGCCCTTTGTGACGACTGACGCTCCTATGTATCAATGCGCGTTGTTTTTGTCGACACGCATATTACGCATATGCCTCTTTAAATTACTCAATATAGGTTAAAGGGTCAACCTCATCACATTACATAAACATATAAACTCGCAAAACCATTTGTCTTTGCACAACAACCACGAGCAGCGCAGACCTATATTTTGCCTCCGAGGTCGACCGCCGCTCTCCTGATCGCTCCGCTAATTACTCTTCTGAAGACCGCAATAGACTGTCGGAATATAGCGAGTGGACAGTCAGAAGTCCGGCGTTGTTTTCTTTGATAGGCTTTTCTTCCACGGAGATATAAGATGGCTTTTTAGCAATTGATGATATTTACCTTGATTGTTTATGTGATTATGTGGGACGCAACATAACCTACCTGTATGTCGGAGCGTGTGAAAGCTTGGTGACAGGTTTACCTGCCGATATATTGTGGTCATCCCATTTGGAATGTAAACACCCAAAATGGCTTCTAAGTGTCGAAAGTTTGTGCCTAACATTTTCAATAAGACCAAGTGTCAAAACTGCTTTGGAGCTAAAGAAAACCATTCCGCAGAGGCATTGGAAAATAATAAGGTGAGACTATGATCATAACGACACGGAGGCAGTTTGTTTGAATCGGCTCCGCATGTGTCAGAATGTTTTATTGCATGTGTAGTTCACATTGTTGATTGCACGTGAACTACGTGATAATTAGCTGATTGTTTTGCAATACCCACAATACCAACCCAATATACAACAGTCGTGCCGTCCATTCATGTTAAATCCAAAACACAACATGCAGTCAGCATTTTGATGGGCGGTCTTATGTAAACAAAACCATGTATTAACCTCCGTAATTGCCAATTATACATAGTTGCACAATTTGATTGAGAATGGTAATACGTAAACCATTCCCATTTTTGATACACACTCAAAGAATGTTACACATAGCGTTTTTGTTAAACATTGTTGTGAAAGGGGTGTGTTAACTTTGTATTATACAAGGAGTGACATGTGCCTTTTGATATATGGCCTATCATAACAGATGAGTCAGTATAAATATTCACATTTACCTTACAGTACTATCCTGGGGAATACGCTATCCATAATACCTTCGGTTATGGAACTGGTAGATGACTTAGTTTTTCTATTCTTAGCTCATTGGAATGTGTGTTCTTTCTAACAATCGATTCTAGATATACACATATTGATATATGTGTTGAAAATGCTGACGTATATATGTTGCTAAGGATATCTTTGGCAAAATTAATTCCTTTCTCAAAAGAGGAATAAAGGAAGAGGTTCTATTCAAGGCACATGTAGATATAATGGGTTTAGAATTTGAACATTTTACGACATCCTACTCCATGGAAATATACACTTGACATTTGAACTATCAAATCCAAAGGCGTTGTACTTTCACAAGGTTTCTAAAGGTCACCTATGGGTGGAAATGTTGTCTTGACTTTAAAAATATTCTAGAAGATAAAACATAAAAAAGTGTTAGCCCAAATGGGCTGCATGCCAAGTGATCTTGGTTGCAGGGATGCACTAAGTGTGTCTCTCCTCCAAGGCAAGTAATTATTACAGCATAGTAAGCATACTAGAGACTGTGTGATGCAGTAGTGTCTATAGCAGGTGCTTGCATTCCGTGTGGCCCTTAGACCTGTGCATTGCATGTTGGCACTGGAGGGCACCAAAAATGTATGTGATGCTTCAAAGGATACAATACTTTGATCATGACACTGCTAACAAGGTGTATTTTTAGAGACACTATACTTTGGTCATATTGTTGCTAACAAGACATATTTAAAGGGACTCTCCATCTGCGACTTTGGTCATGTTTTCAAAGCCCTTGTGTTGTAAAATCTATTACTGGAAAGTTCAGCTGAAAAAAATCTGTTTATAATTGAAGTGTTTTTCACAGATTGAATATTGATCAGTGATGCTGATGCTACCAGGGTATTCAAGGATACTGTACTTCAGTCATGTTGATGCCAACAATATATTGTTAGAGGGTCCTGTACTGACAAGATATTTCAATATTGTTTAATTGATTATACTTTGATCATGATAGTGCTAACAAGATCCGCTAAGGGAACTATAGAATTGTTTTTAAAGAATACTTTACTTTGATGCGTACCAAGATTTTTGTTGAAGGGGTACAGTAATAATTAAAAATATTATTTGATGTTTTAAAGACCGTATTAGTTACTACATAGTTAATAAGGATATACCCATCATACGACAGTGACCATTCTATTGTTTGTTTGTTGTTTAACGTCGCACTCAGCAATATTCCAGCTATATGGTGCAGCCTGTAAATAATCGAGCCTGGACCAGACAATCTGGTGATTGATATCATGAACATTGATCCACACAATTGAGATACAATGACGTGCATCAACCAGGTCAACAAACCTGACCACCCGTTTACGTGAGTTGCCTCATATGCCAAGCATGGGTTGCTGAAGGCCTATTGTAACACGGATCATCATGGGTACATGGACTATTTCTATTCTCAGTAGCTGTTTATGTCCATAATGAGCTTACATTCACATACATCATGAAGACATTAACGTTTACGGATAACAACTCCCTAAATGTGTGTAGTGACGTTTCAAGGCAATTGACTGTGTTGAAAGGGCAAGAAGTGGTCCTGAAACATTGTTACCAACAATCAGGAAGTAGTTATCCATAAATGTTTAATGCCTCCTTGTTCTTCCAACTGTTGTTTGGGCGTTGGGATAGCCTTGTGGTTAAAGCATCCTTGTTCTGTTGTTAGGGCGTTGGGATAGCCTTGTGGTTAAAGCATTTGCTCATCACTTCGAAGGCCAGGGTTAAACTTTGATTTCCCCAATGGGCACAATTTGTGAAGCACATGTCGGGTGTCCCCAACCATGATACGGCTTGAATGGGTCATAGAAGGGTCGGGGCGGTCGGGTAGCCTAATGGTTAAAGCGTTCGCTCGTCACGCTGAAGACCCGGGTTCAATTCCCGACATGGGTACACTGTGTGAAGCCCATTTCTGGTGTCCCCCGCCGTGTTATTGCTGGAATATTGCTAAAAGCGGCGTAAAACCATACTCACTCACTCCAATGTTTCTGTGTCTATCAATGACTTCTCATTGTAATGTATATGCTCTCACAATGCTTGCATTGTGTATATATAAGATTGAGTCTGACTCTTCTTGTATGATATAAATATGTAACATAACTAGTCTACATTTAAATGTGACCTGTCTCTATTTAGTCAATGAGACATAACTATGGTCATTGTTACTCGTAGTTCATAAAAACGTCACCTGTGACATGCTCGATAAGATAATCTTTACATTTTTTTATCTTAATGTAAAGTACTTTTTTTTATCTTCGTGAAGTTTATCTAATCAAGCATGTCACAGGTGAAGTTTTTATGAACTGCGAGTAACATTGACCAGGATCCCCATTTATAGTTATCATCCTTTATTTCAGTAGTATTTGTCCTGGAAGGTAGGTTACTAGACTAACATCTAGTCTCTGAAATGAACATATCGTACAGAAAAAAACAGTTGTTCAGTTATCTTATTAAAAATGTAATAAAAAGGAGCCCAGTGATTCTCTTCATTTTCAGCCTGATACTGCAGTGATCTAGACTTGCCAGACATTATAGACTTGCATGGGCTCTATTTGATATATATTTGTATCACGGTCTGTAAGACAGACTAGTAGGTTACTTGAGTAATCAAAAGCTATCAGTTTTCTTGTCCAGGGCATTGTGGGTGGTAGTGAATTAAGTGTTGTGTAACCAAGATCATATGTCAGTGACGGCCTCTGAAGAGAGGAGATTTAATCCTTGGGTAGGCCTGTATAATTCCTGATTTCACTGATAGATTCACCAGGAGGATCGCAGGATATTTTGGTGGACCTGTTTGTCAGGTTTTAGTTGAAAGGTCAGTGTATATAACATCAGTGTTGATCTGACAGACACATCTGGTGTCTGACCTTTGCCTCACATTGACCCTCCCTGATGGTCTCATTGACCAGTGTGTGGGAGGAGGGGAGATGGGACACCCATGTGGGGGACATGTGGAAGACTGGGGTGTAGTCTCTCACACTGACCCACCCAGTCGTTTTCTGTAACCAGGAGAGCAGATACGACACCTATGTGGGGGACATGTGGAGGACTAGCTTTAGCATGGTCAGATTTCTAAAGTACCTGAAAGCATGGAAAGTGAAATGGTTCTCTCGGCTGATTTTGTATTTCATATTAAAGACAATTTGAACCCCCCAAATCCCATAATATTTCATTTCAGTCAGCACCAAAGTCAGTAAACCCCTCAGATATGAGCTTTGTTTGTTTCTTCCATGACCTTATAACATCGTGTATTTGTTTTGGCTTACCAAAATTCAATTAGTGTGTAGACAGTTAAACATTTTAAAAAGACTTTTAATGTATGGTCAAGAAGTACAAGTGACATTGTTCAGTTTTCTGTTACATATAGTACATTGTCTGTTCAGCCAGTTTTAGGTTCTGTAGATGTCAGTGGCAAGAGATCCATTTTGTCTCCACTTTGAACATTATTGATCTGAAGTAAAAAAGATGTTGATGTCCTTCCAACTTTCTCAAAACTATTTTTATTGTCAACCAGTGATTCAAATTAAGAATGAATTGCAGCACATACTGTAGTTTCTGTGTTTATTTTGAGAATTTAATATCTGCTCCAAAATTAATCAATAACGTCATGGAGATGGACAAACTAACCTCACTTTCCCATTATGAATTTAAAAAATATCCCAAATAACAGTGAGCCCCTGTTTTTATTTACAGACATTGATAAATGTTTCTAACCATTTCCTGAAGTTACCTCTCAAAGCATTCATCGTCAGTCTGAAAGATCTGTTACCATATCCTCCCAAACCTTGACATTTACCACACTGATGCCAGTTCTACCCCGACACATAACCCTGACACATAACCCCTCCGTAACACCTCACTGCATCACTCCATGTCCACCACATGTCTCCATCACCGTGCAGCATCCTTCACCGTGCACACATCAAAGGGGGCCTGTCAGTTGCATGTGCATTACATGCTCCCCCCACCCACCCCTGTTGTCGTGGGGACCAGACAGGCCAAACTGTGTTCCCCCTGACAGCTGTTTTTGTTGGTGTTGGTGTATGCTGCGTGTGTACATCTGTTCCGGGTTATCAGGCCCCACACTGATGAGTGGAGAGAAAACATATGTAAGCTGAAGGAGGCGAGTGCACAGAGATGGCCTTGTTGATAGATGCATGGACATGTGTGTGTCAGCATCACGCATGGATATATGTATCTTATTGGACATATATATTTGTGTGCCATGGCATAAGACACAAATACATGGATACACGTGTCTTATTAATCTATAAGACCGCCTCCGTGGTCTCGTGGTAAAGCGTCCGCCCAGAGTGGAAGGTCCGGGGTTCAATCCCCTGCCGTGTCATACCAAAAGACGTGAAAAGATGGTGTTGTGGTTACCCTGTCTGGCGCTCGGCATTAAGGGGCTAAAACAAGGACTGGTCGGCTCGGAGTCAGTATACTGTGTCTGAGTGGGGTATTCATCATCAACTGTG